CGTGCCGGTTCAGGTTTTCCAGCTCCAGGACGGCCCCAGCGGCCAGGATCTAGTACATCTTCTCACATACAATACTCCCTATCCGACGTCGAATACGCCTGGCCCCGCCGAGGGCTCCTTACCACCTCCGCCGAAGGGGGGTTCAAGCCGGCCACAGACGAATGGTCAACCTACGAAAAGGAAGAGACCGCAACCGACATCTCCAATGCTGGGCCCAACTCCACCACCCACGACAGATGCCATTGAAAGGCCTATGAGCCCGGCCCTGACCTCTACTCCCGCTCCGATTCAGGCCCCCACTCCCATTCCTCTTCCCGTGCCTACTCAAGCGCACACGTTTGCGCATATTCCTACAACTACATCTCCCACCACCGCCGTCGATGCCCCGACCCTGACTTCTGCGCATCCTCGCGAGCCAGGGTCGGCTTCTACGTCTCCTCCCGAACCCTCACAAGCTACCCCCGCGACGGATGACATCTTCAACGACCCCATTGTACAACTCGCCTCTACATTTTCCTCGAAAGAAGTCGCCCCTCCATTCGTTCGACCGCCATCACGATCTTCGCAGCCGCCCCAATCAAGACCACAAACCTCCAAACCCAAATATCCTCGCCAACTAAGTCGATCTCAATCCGCAGGCCCGCTTATACTGCCATCCAGTGATCCTGCTGGCCCCTCTTCATTATCACAGCCCCCGACTAACGCTTCGGACCGTCCATCTTCGGTAGGAGGTGTTGACGTCCGTCGGCCGAGTTCCATGGGGATGTTGGCCTTGCCAACGCCCGAGCCTCGCGCCGAAACCACGTCCGAGTCCCCGGTAGACCCTGCCCCGTTGGTAAACCCAGCGGCTGCTGAGGAGCCATGCCCTCCAAGCGACTTCCTTCCAGCGCCATCCTCACCCCCCGCGCACCGGTCAAACAAGAACATTGTGAAAAAGCATGCCATCAAGCAGCGTCTTGAAGAGGCCATAAACAATGGAGAAATGCCTCCATTTTGCAGTAATTGCGGTGCCATCGAGACCCCTACATGGAGGAAGATTTGGATTCAAGAGCGCGACGGCGTTCCGGAGCGATGCGAGTATTCTGAAAAGCCGGGGAAAATAACGGCTGTGGAGGTTTTACGGCGCGATGATGAGGGGAAACCAACACTTCATCGTGTCGTCAAAAAGAGTCTGGCCATCACCGACGAGAGGACCAAGTGGCAAGAGGCTCTGCTTTGCAACCCTTGTGGCATTTGGCTTACCAAGTGCAAAACTCACCGGCCCCCTGACAGGTGGGATAAAGATGCCTCTCGACTAGGCCAGGAGCGACGGAAGAGAGGCACCGGCCGAAGCACATCTCGGGCGAAGAAGAATCGTCCAAAGGATGACGGCCCTCTCAATCTCACTTCGGAAGCCTATCTCCCCACAGATGCGTTTGAGCCAGTAGCGCCCTCGTCACCAAAGATGAGCGAAGCGGCCCCCGTGGACTTGAACTCGTTACCGGTGCCAGAGAGTAACGGGAGTCAGCAACTTGAAATTTTTACCGGGAACGATGGACGGGACGTGGCATCACAGCCAGGATCAACCCATTCCCAGGGCAGTGGGACGGCTCAGAGCCCCATCGATATCGACGACTTTGACGAAATAGCCGGCAGCACGAGGAGATTGCTATTCCCCTCTCCTAGAAAAGACGGAGTACCAAAGGTGCTTTGCGACGTTGACGTTAATGTCGTTCAGACTGCAGAGTGCCGACCAGGAGAACATCTCAAAGGCGACCAAGAGAATACTGCCGTGCCGGGATCGCACGAGTGTATGAGCAAATTAGACGACTTGGATGCTCTATTCAACAGCCCCTTCAAAGGACGACCATCCACCCCGCCACCCGATGCAGCGCCTACAACGGCTGAGCCATTCAAGACCCCTACACGGCCTACCCCAAGTCACAGACCCATCACTAGGAGTGTATCCCGGTCTTTGCGGTCGGCCAAGTCGATGCGTTCGCCGAATCAGCATGCAGTCGAGCAGACTCCCACCAAGACACCGAGATCCTTACTGAGAATTCCCAGCAGCAGCGCTAGGAGACGCAGCCCGCGGGTTCATCAGGGAAGCTTTGACATTTTCGATTCTCCCATTAGTCGAAGCATTGTGCAGCTTCTTTCAGAGGGTAACGCTTTGGGATCGGGAGAAAACGAGATGGACCTCAGCAGCCTGCCTGGGCTGGGGGGCCACAATGATGAGCTGATTGACTTTGGCAATCTCTTGAGCACAGATGACATTATGCCCAGTTCATCCCCTAAGAATGGATCTATGGGGTTGAGTTTCGATTACGACGGCGCTGCTAATAACATTGCCGATTGGATGGACAGTGTCATAAAGAAGCTTAAATGATGCCTTTATAGGCAATGCGATTAGAGAAAAGGGATATGGTATTTGATGATTGATGTTGGGTTTCTATTATAGCGCGTGGAGTTTCGGATAGGTATTTCAAACAGGCTTTCTTGACGATAAGCAGGAGAAGCACAGAGTTGTTACTCCTTTACAGCCAAAAGAGAGATCTTTTTCCCTCTTTTGCGCGCTTCTTTATTCTCATTTATTAGATATCTCTTTACCTTATTCAGGGTTAGTATAGTGGATACCAGAGCAAGACTCAATGTTGTTATGATGTTATGCCTGTGTGCTTATTTTTCCTCTTTGTTTTAAACACTTTTTTTTTAAGAAGTAAAGAGTTATATGGGCATATTTGGAGTTTTCGGATTATAAGAGACGAGAGGGAATGAAGCGACACAATTCATGCAAGCGACGGCAATCAATGAAATAAATTGAATATTATTAAATGAACAGGAAGTCCAATTAATAAATATACAATGCTTGGTGTTATATATGTATAAACTGTATTTTGTTTTATAGTTGTGCTGGGAATGGAGGAATTGGTAAAGGAGGACTTTGCGGCTTTTCTTAGGGAAGCTGTTCACGTCATGGGAAAGCGAAAAGAACGCCAATGGCTACTTTAAACACGCTGGGATTTCCATTAATAAGGAATTCAACTTAAAATGCTGCTACTGTAGTTGCTATACTGTGTACATAAACTCCATAAAGAATGTTTTTTCCCTACGCAATATAAACAGGCGCCAAGGCCTGTTAAAGTGCTTATTTATAACCTTTACCAAAAGATATAATAGATGCAGATAGGGTTACTGCTATTATACTGCCTGCCTCCTCCCCTATTATGTTATTGTAGAAGCTATAATCCTCTGTTTTTACTTGAAGCCTTCCTTTAGTTGGTTTATTCGATAGAAGCATTACATCCCATTCTAGTAGGGCCACCCCCCAAGAAGTTCCCAATAGTTTCTAGGGGATGTGAACGCTATTTGTCTCCTAATTGTATTACCTCAAGATACTTTGTTTTTTCTTTCAACATATATGAAAGTCACTATCTTCGCCAGCTAAATACAATCGCAAACACCATTAACACCGTGAGCGTTAAAAGGCCTCTTCTATATAACACACCTCGGTGGGCTTGTAGCAACTCTAAGTCGCGCATGACATCATATGACTTTGGATGTGTTGGTCCAAAGGTAGATTGAAACCCTTTCAGCGCTCGATTGTACATCAATTTTGCTTTTCCGAGCTTGCCTTGTCTACCGTAGAGACGTGCTAAGCTGCCAACTGTATTAAGAGTCGATGTATGGTCGCGTCCAAGTGCCATCTCAAGCCCTTTGAGCGTTCGATTAAGCATCTCCTCTGCCTTTCTGAACTTGCCCTGGTTTGTGTAAACAGTGGCTAAGTTACCAACCGTCATAAGAGTCAACATGTGATCGCATCCAAATGTCTTCTCAAGCACTTGCAGCGTTCGATTAAACATCTCCTCTGCTTCTCTTTCCTTGCCCTGGCCATTGTAAACAAGGCCCAAGTTGTTAACTGTGCAAAGTGTCGATATATGGTCGCGTCCAAGTGTCTTCTCATTTCCTTCTAACACTCGATTATATATCTCTTCTGCCTCTCTGAACTTGTTCTGGTCACTGTAGAGATCTCCCAAGTTTCCCACTAAAAAAAGAGGTAATTCGTGGTCGTGTCCAAGTGTCTTCTTCGTCTCTTTTAGCGCTTAACTGTTAAAAGAAAAAGAATTAAAAGATACACGAGCGATTAGGTCAAGCGCTGGGAAGTGTTGATTCTTGAACAGGCTCGGCCGATAGAAAATGCAGAACAGAAACCGGTGTACAGTAGGTGACGTACGGTTGAGAAGTTGGAATGTGGGTGGATGGTCAACACGGAAGAGATTTTGAGAGAGTACATGTAGAAAAGAGGGACAATGCAAGGCGCTGGTTGCTGCCCGTCCAGCTGAAGCTGGTATAAGCTGAGCAGCCCAAGCTGAAAGATGTCAACTAATTAACTCGCATATGCCACCACACCAGGCCGGACGGTTAACCGCCAGCGCCGAAAGTGGCTAATACCACAATAGATATGCATTGAAGGATTCAGCAAGATGGTGTGAGATTACAGGTATATAAGAGGTTGGATTGGGCTGTGATACTCTGTTATATTGTAAGCAGTTGGGATTCCAGGGAGCTAGCGATATATAAACAACCGCAGTCAATAAAGTAAATCAACTGTTGATAATTAATAGGAAGTCCAAGTAATGAATCCATGCTTAATTACAGATACCTAGCATGTATAAACCGTATTCTGTTTTATTGGTAGTTGTGCTAGGAATCAAGGAACAGAGGAGCTTGTCTTGAGTTATCGTGGAAGAGTACAGGTACATGCGTACATGCGTACATGTACCTCGAGCCTCCAGCACTTACTGTAAGCTCTGCCACTTAACGCGTCGCGTCTCCACGTCTTCACTTGCAACCCCCACTACAGCCAGAGAGCTCAACCTTTCATTTGCAGCCGCAAGACAAAATCCAAATTGTCGCAGCTGCGGGTACGAGGTTTTTTCGTATTCATTTTGATGCCGGCAAGATACAAGAAGCATCAGAAGCTGTGAAATTGGCCAATTGACAAAGTACAGTCGCCCACAATGGCCGACGAAGAAATCCAGTCTCGATTCGCTCCCAACGGGACGCTGGAGCCAGATGTTGCCAGCGAGCTCCAGTCCATGGGCCGGCTACACGACATCTCAGCCGAGGACCTCTATTTCAAATGGGAGTCGTACTGCATCAAGATGGACGTGGACGCGCAGGCCGTGACGTTGTCGAATGTGCGCGGCCTGAAGCAGAGCATCCAGGACGAGCTGGAGAAGTCGCAGCGCCGGCTGCAGGTCAAGAGCGAGAGGAAGATGGCGCCGACACCGAGGCCCAAGGCGGGCAAGGGAGATGTGTTTGGCATGTTGGATGGCCTGGTGCCGAGCACGCCTGCGTCGGGGAAGCACAAGGCGCCTGGCAGTGGGTTGAGGAAGAGGATGGAGATGCAGAGGGACATTCCGAGCTCGCCAGCAGCAGGACTCAACGAGCAGCTCAAGTCGATGAATCTCCCGTTAGTATTTAGATCAGTGAGGCTGGATTACTATGCAGTTGCTAATCAGGACATCTTTTCAGGTCGGCGACCTTTGCAGAACGACAGAACGCGGGAGAGGTGGTGGAAATCCTCAACGACGAGCTCCCGCCGGCCGAAGCGCCCATTGCGCCCTTCCCCGAACCGAGAATCAAGCTTACGGCCGCCTCTGATCAGAAGAAGACGGGCTACAAGCCGCTGGCGATGAAGCTATCCGAGGCTAGCGAGATCCTCGACGACCGAATCGACGACTTTCTTGACCTTGTCCGCGAGCACCATGGTCTGGAGGACTCTGCTTTTGGCAACGCTGCAACTGCTAGCACAACCGAAGTCGTGGCTGTAGGCCGTATTGCGTCGGATTCTCTGGAGGGAAAGATCAATGCTGCCTCAATAGTGCTGGAGACGTCAAGGCGGATGGGGAGGGGCCTGAGAGTGCCGCTCAAGCTGGACGGTGTCCAGAGCTGGAGCTTATTTCCGGGCCAGATTGTTGCGCTCAGGGGCAGCAACATCACGGGGGATGAGTTTATCGTCAAGGAGATTCTAGACATGCCGCTTCTGCCGAGCGCTGCGTCCAGCCCTGCGGCTCTTGAGGCTCATCGGGAGAAGCTCAGGGGTGACCCAGATGCCATGGACTCGGACTCGGAACCTGCGCCGCTGAGCATCATCTATGCGGCTGGGCCGTACACGGCTGATGATAACCTCGACTATGAGCCGCTGCAGGCGCTCTGCAATCAGGCAGCTGATACATATGCCGATGCCCTCATTCTTACGGGACCGTTCCTGGATATCGACCATCCTCTTATTGCCACGGGGGATTTTGATCTTCCCGAAGAAGCCACATATGATCCTGACACTGCCAACATGAACACCGTCTTCAAATATCTTGTTGCTCCCGCACTAAACCGCCTCGCTTCCGCAAACCCTCATCTCACAGTCATTCTCGTCCCTTCCGTGCGCGATGTCCTCGACAAACATGTCTCCTGGCCTCAGGATACCATTCCCCGACGAGAGCTCGGCCTGCCCAAGTCGGTGCGCATCGTCTCCAACCCCATGACCCTGTCCATGAATGAGGTGGTTCTCGGCCTGTCCAGCCAAGATGTGCTGTACGAGCTACGCAGCGAGGAGGTCTCCAAGGGGGCACCCCCCGGAGAGCTCATGCGACGGCTGTGTCGTCACTTGGTTGAGCAGCGGCACTACTTCCCCGTGTTTCCGCCGACGGACAGGGCAAGGCTGCCGAAGACGGGGACGGATGATGGGCTTGCGACGGGTGCTATGCTTGATGTGAGCTATCTCAAGCTGGGCGAGATTGTCAACGTTCGGCCTGATGTGTTGCTGATTCCCAGCTTCTTGCCTCCTTTTGCAAAGGTATGGTTTCATATATATCGTCACCCCCTTCCAAATCATTGACTAACCATGATGGTAGGTTGTTGAAAGTGTTTTGGCAATCAACCCAGGCTCTTTGTCGAAGAGACGTGGAGCAGGAACATATGCGCGCATGACCTTGTATCCCCCAACTTCAGACGGAGAAGTAATAAATGGCCTGATAACTCACAAGGTATTCGATAGAGCACGGGTGGAGATTGTGAGGATATAGAAGAAACAAGACACTATTGTTTGGGAAGGGGTTATAGCAACTGATGACAAGTCATTGGCACATTTTATATTGTTTTGGCTTTTGTTTCTCGATTTTGATCATGTTCTTTTGGCCATTTTTTCATGCCAAATAGATGGGGTATATATTTGTATGGTTATAAAATCCACGGTATGGATGCGTCTTGCATCCCCATTAAAACAACATTACATCCCTTTGGGAATGGCTTTCCTTCAATCTCGATCATCAACTCTGCGTCTCTTGTCGCCGTCATCACGATATCTTTCACGAGACGTACTCCTCTTCCTGCGATTCCAGTCGTCATCCGGCCGAAACCGATCGTCCTCACTGTCATACCGACGACGGTCATCTCGCCTCCTATCCCCACCAAACGATCCCCACCGGCCAGTATCTTCGCTCCGCATGTCCTTGTACTTTGTCGCGCCCTTCTTGCCCAGCTTGGTCATGTCCCGCAGCTGTAGGTACTCGGGCAGGGCCTCGCGGTTGCGCACGTCGTCCTGTATGCGGCCGCCCATGATGTCTCGCTGGAGCAGGCCCGCGGCGGCCGTCTCCTCCTGGAAGAAGGCGCCCTTGTGGTAGTATTTCTGCTTGTACGCCATTTTGCCTTTACCCTCCTTTTCCTCCTGCTGCTTCGCGATGTAGGCCTCGTCCTCGGCGGCGCGCTCCTCCTCGGTGAGGTTGCGGCGGCGCTCTACTTCCGCGAGCTCCTTCTCGCGCTCTTCGATGGCCTGGCGGGCGCGCTTGAGGCGCTTCAGCTCGCGCACTCTCCAGGCTGCTTCTTCCGCCTCCGGGTCCAGCCCGTCCGTGGTGTCGACGTCAGATTCCTCGTTCTCCTCGTCGTCCCAGTGCTTCTTGCCCGCGGCGCGCGCAGCGAGGTCTTTCTTGATTTGCTCCTCGACGAGCGCATCGGCGGCCTTTTTCCGGGCTTCCTCCTCGGCTTGCCTGGCGGCTTCTTGTTCCTTTTCCGAGTCCTGTGCGGCGGCGCCTCGTTGGTTTTTCGGTATGAATTTCGGCCGCATCATTAATCTCCTCGGCGCTTCTTCTTCACTACTACTCTCCTCCTCTCCCGACTCGCTCTCATCCTCGTCCTCCTCCTCGTCGTCTTCCTCTTCCTCTTCTTCGGTAACGAAGCCTTCTTCCGCCGCTAGCCTCTCAGCCTTTTCCGCGGCTATTCGACGCGCCTCGGCGGCTTCTGCATCTTTACGCCGGGAATTGAGGTCGACTTTGTTCAGGTTGCTGATGATTTTGCCGGCGCTGGTGGCCTTTGGGGGAGGGGGCACGGCGACAGGCTCGACGGGCTCGTCGGCGTCGCTGGCGTCTGAGTCGGAGGAGGAGTCGGCGCCGGAGGGCTTGCCGGCTCTGTGGCGAGACGGCTTGACGGGGTTTGCCGTCATGCGCTTTGGAGGCATTGTGACTGTGGAGGGGAGAGTTGATGGTGGTGAGAGGAGGTTTTGAAGTTTGAGAAGTTGTAGGTAGATGCGGTTTACAGGTAGAAAATCCGCCTGCGATAAGCCAAACGCGGTAAGCTATCGGGCTGGTACTCTGTAGAGCTACATAGCCCACTAAAACACACGTCACAGCGCTGCTATTGAATACATGCGCTCACCAAGATCTGTAAAAACATTCCCCGGAAGTTGTTAATGAAGAATTTACATACAGAGTTGGGTTAATATATGCGTATTAATTTACGCTATGTATTCTTGGGGGAATTTTTCCAAGCATCTGTGTTCAATGGCTATTCGTTACCATTAACGTAGTACGCTGCCTCGAGGTGAAGTGACCCCGGTATTCGATGTCCATCAACAATGCCGCACCCTGATTTTAAATGGTATTCCAATACTCCGATCGCAATGCTTTCTAGAAATAACACACACCTGAACCGAGGTAACCAGTAGCATGCAACACCATCTGATTTGGAATATACCGAGCTGTATACCTCTTATTTACACCGAAAACGTCTGTTATAGGGTAAGCCTTGTAGGAAATGCGGAGTTGGCCCCTCGTCTTCACGTCACAGCTCCACCAGCCACCAAGCAATAGCTCAGGCACAGCTTCTTTTAAGTTTGGAGGTACGCAAGCTCTTGTGTTCCAAGTTTTCCCTCACTTTTCTCGCCACGAGAATAGCTACCTCTCTTGCTTTTTCGTAGAGACAGAGGCAACAAGTCAATCGTCGATCTGAGCAGCATTGGAGATTTCAACAGCTGCTGCCGCCACAGTGACATCTCAGCTTCAGCGTGGCATCTATACCTAGCTCAGAGCCCTGAGTCCATCATAGACAATGGCGCAGCGAACGGTCCTCGTCACTGGTGCCACCGGATTATTGGGTAGAGAAGTCGTCGCCGCCTTTCATAACCGTAGTGGATGGACCGTCAAGGGCTCGGGCTATTCACGGGCGGATGGTGCTGATATCCTCAAGCTCGACCTGGAGAGCGGAGCTGATATTGCCAAAACACTGGACGAGATACGGTGCGTTTCTCTTAATCAGCGCTTCATTTGGCAGGCTTTTCATAGCCGATATAACAACGTTTATGCTAACGGAGCTCTGAGCGTGGCAGACCCCACGTGGTGGTTCATTGTATGAGTCGAGTATCTAAGCAGTAGGACTTGGGGAACGCATTGCTGATTTCCTCTTCTCTCCAGGTGCGGCGCAGCGCTTCCCAGACAAGGTGGACAAGGACCCAGAAGCGGCCAGAGCTCTCAATATCGCCGCCAGCAAGACGCTTGCCAGTGCCACTGCGGCTCGGGAAATTTTGATGATTTACATCTCCACTGATTATGTCTTTCCTGGGCGGCCAGGCGACGCCCCTTACGAAGCCGATGCCACCCCAGCCCCTACTAACCTTTACGGCCAAACGAAGCTGGATGGCGAAAAAGCCGTGCTGGAAGAGTACGCTGTGGCTGGAAAGGAGGGCCTCGGGGTCACTCTTCGAGTCCCGGTGCTCTACGGCCACGCAGAAACACCCTCTGAAAGCGCCGTCAACGTGCTGATGGATAGTGTTTGGAAGGCCCAGACGGAGGGCACCAAGATCAAAATGGATCATTGGGCCATCCGCTACCCGACTAACACGGGAGATGTAGGACGAATTTGTCATGGTAAGTTGTTGTCTCATGCAAGCTACGCCTCCAGGTTCCCCGTGTCTCACTATCCCACCGATTTCTCCCTATCTGGAGCTTCTTGATAGTATCTCATTACTTTTTTGATTGCCAATGCCGACTTGGAAAGCTGTGCCGACGCTGATACCGCTCCCTAGATGTGGCAACCAAGTACCTCGACTCGGGGGATCGCAAGTCTTTTCCCCGGACGCTCCAGTTCTCGAGCGAAGACAAAATGACAAAGTACGAGATCTGCCAACACTTTGGCGACATCATGGGCTTGTCAATTGCCAACATTGAACCCAACACGGAGGGCAACGAGCCCAACGCCAGCGTGCAGCGGCCGTATGATTGCCACTTGAGCACGCGAGAGCTCAAGAATCTCGAGATCGATGTCTCAACGTGCGATTTCGTCAGCTGGTGGCGCCGCGAGGTTCGAGCGTTTCGCAAGTAGTTATTAATAACCACTCCTCTTTCCAAGCTGATTGACCGAAATACGATTCCATGTTGGCGACTTCTTGATCTCTCCAGAGCCTTTCTCCTTCCTATCAGGGTGATGTGTGCACATAGACACGCAGTTGCGAGCACGGGGGTGCGTAATCTGCCGTGCAAGACACCTCGGGCCAATATACGAGTACTAATAGAGCGCTCGTACCATGGACGGAGATTCAGTGCATTAGTTGCCGTCCAGTTGGCCGCTTGTATTTGTGAATACTGGCCCATGTCATTCGCCGCGCTGTGCCACAACAGTGTCTGTCATATTATGCGGAGCACCAAGTAGGGAGGCGAATGATATATCAGACCCCGGCCTTTCAGAGTAGCCTAGACTCACCGAACGGTGGTTCGTGGGGGATCCGCTTGGAAGGCGACATGAGAATATTTCAACCGCTTCCATGACCCGCTAAGGGAGATGTCTCGATTAACTCCAATCCACGGGGAGTAAAATTCCAAAGAGGCACGGAGCAGCGCCGAGAAGTCCTTGGGGGCAGATGTTCAACTTTGGACCTGGCAAGGGATTGCAGCGTCGCACAGTGAGTTCAGCAGGCGAAGGGGCAGATTGGAGATGCTGGGTGTACGAGTGTACTGACCTTTGCTCTATGGTGTAGCGCAATGTCCTCATCATTCTTGTGCGCACCCCAAGAGCCTCCCTTGCATGAATTATCTTGCTAGACTGAAGCCGCAAGGTGTTACTATCCTCAGGTTGCGTTAATGATGTCTGAGCGCTCTCCAACAAGCTGCCTGGTCAAATTGGACCCGCCTGAGGAAAAAGCAAATACGGCATTCACACAAGCCCCCTTTGCAGGCGCTTGGATGCAACGGCCAGTCAGTGGTAGTATCGCTACTACAGGTATAGTTACCACGACAAGGTCTATCGCAAGCGAGTAGATATTTTAAGACATTGATCCATTGACTGCGCGGCCGACAGTGGACGGGGCGAGGAGGTTGATATTTTGGCGATATGACCTGCATCATGGGCATCTTCACTTGGCAGGGCGACTCCCTGCGAAGTCTGTCGCTTGCCACGAGAGGTTGAGTGAATGTGAATTGGGCCTTCTCTCCTCGATTTTCTCCTCGATATTTTCTCCCTTTTCTCCAGCCTATTTCCTCTCCCCATCGCCCTTGCTCTGAATCTACCTGTTCCCAGACAGCTGACCTTTCCAGAGCGGCCTTTTGGACTGGATTGCTCATTCTGTGGGCGACAGCATCACCGTTGACTCTTTCTGCAAGTTTGAGTTAGAGCACCTCGTATGTAAGCTGTGGAACCTGCACGAGAATGGCATGATGACGGCCTTTGCTAATCTTTTTATAGTTTTATAGCTACCTATTTGTTGCCTCACAGTCGCTGTCGATTATCTTACACGGGCAGCCCTTGCTTAGCTGTGTGTACCTTGTATTACAAGGTTGGCGCCAAGCATAAAGCATTGCAAGCGGGAAAGAAGAGAACAGAGGAGGCAGAGAAGGAAAGAATATACACGAAGAAAAAAAGACCAGAATAAGGAGATATTCCCTCTGCTTCTTCTCGTTTCTGTTTCTTTTTTCCAAGCCTGTGATACTCGATCCCCTGTGCACAGCATACGAGTGCATAATACGGCCTTTAATCTCTGCTGTGTGGCAGGTATATTGGCCGAGGCACGAAGCACTCAACTCAAAACAGCAATCAGGCAATCAGTCGCGTGCTGTGCTGCAGCTGTGCTCAAGTACTGTGGCGCCTTTTCGGTGGCTGATCGACCGCTGCAAAACCTAATCTGACAGCGGCCCCAGCGCGGCTACAGCAAGGCCCCAGCGCATCATGGCTGCTGCAGACGATGTACCTGCAGGGGACCAGCCGCCCAAGACGCCTCGAGGGAAGAGCGTTTCTCGCTTCAACCTGGGACTGTTCCGCGACTCAGATGCGCAGAGCTCGCCCGGCTCCAAGAGCATCCGCAACCTGCCTGCGTCCATCTCGCTCTCGCAAGCTCCCCCCTTGCTAGACGCGCCGCCGATCCCCAACTTCGTGCTCAGCGCAAATCCCAAAAACGACTCGAGCCCCTCGCAACGCCGGTTCTTTGGTGGTGACCTGAAGCCGCCGCCCTCACCCTCGGCCAGGTCCTTCATTTCTGAGCCCGGATCGCCCTTTGGCTCGCACTTTGGCACGCCATTGAGCAGGACTGCCAGCAGGACCGAGAGGGAGATTGACGAGCTCGCCGCACAGCTCGACTTTGAAATCGAGGAGGCGCATCGCAAAAAGGCAGAGGCCCTGCAGAGCTCCAAGGAGGAAGACGCCGCTCGCTGCGAAGACGACGTCGCGCGACTCGAGGCCGAAAGGGACCTTGTTATTGACGAGCAGAGGAAGTTCGACTTGGCTCGGCTTCAGGCGCAGCCGCCTTCGACTCCGTCCGCGGCAAAGCCCAAGAGGGTCCTCGAGAAGCTCAACCTCTTCTCACGAAGCAGGAAACCGAGCACCAACTTCATTCAGCCGCCACTGACCCCTCTGCCACCGGCTACTCCAAACAGCATCGCACCCTCTGTTTTTACACCCACACCCAGCATCAGCCGGAGAAGCAGCCTCGACGACTCTCCTCCGCTGCACCCCTCGCAAAGGATGAGCTTCATTCGACCACACCCGGATGGCGATGCGCCAATCTCTGCCATCAATGGCGGTGAACGAGTGAGTGCTGTTGGATCTACTTGTGTTACCATCGCCGCAGATTTGCTAACCCCTCTTCTCACCCCCTCTTGCAGCGCATCACTGTTCGATGCCTTTCGTCAACCATCAATCTGGAAGTAACTGCTGATACTACGCCGGAGGACATCCTCATCGCAACCGCTGCGCAGACACGGCATGAAATTGATGTCGAAACCAGTGTCGTCCTCGAGTGCTATGACACTCTTGGGCTGGAAAGGCGCATGCGACGCTACGAGCATGTACGAGACACCTTGAATTCTTGGGACCGTGACCAGGACAATTCACTCATGGTGGTGCCTTGTGACACGCCGGGAGATGACGACAACCTCGAGCTCTCCTCTGTCCCGCAGACGGATGAGCCTGCGCCTGGATTCACTATCCAGCTCTATCATTCTCCTCGCCCTGGCAAGTGGAGCAAAAGGTTCATCACCTTGCTAAGCACCGGCCAAGTATTTGCTTCCAAGCGCGCCGATGCGCAGCCCGCGGACAAAGACAGCACATCGTTGTGCCACCTAACGGACTTTGACATTTATAAGCCCAAGGAGAGTGAGGTGAAGCGGCATCTCAAGCCTCCCAAGAAGATCTGCTATGCCATCAAGAGCCAACAGAAGACAGTCGTCTTTCCCAATGGAGAGAATTTCGTCCACTTCTTCTGTACCGACGATGCTGCCGTAGCCCAGAGATTCTTTGACCAGGTGCATGCTTGGCGAAGCTGGTACATTGTCAACAAGATAACACACTCACGCCCGATAGAGAGACCTCCGCCTCTTGACCTGAGCGTTGAAAGCATCAAGATGCCAATCATCCCCGAGAAGTCTCCACGAGTCTCCAGCGGCTTGACCCTTTCCACTGGATCCTTCATAGATGAGAGCGACTTCACCAGGGCCATCGAGGAATCTACCAGGAAGCTGGCCCTGGAGGCCCAGCTCAATAAAAACAAGCCTAGAGGAAGGAAGGCCTCTAGCGCATCCGTCGCCCTCAGCGTGAAAGAAACGTTTTCGCCTACTGGCTTACTAGGTGAAGGGTATGAAAAGCGCAAGGAGGAGGCAGCGGCGGCAAGCGAGACTACAACCGACGTCGCAAGCCCTACTGTCAAGAAGCTTGAGGGCCCATTCACCGAAGGCCCGTCATTGCTGAATAGCATTGGGCTATCATCCCCCAAATCGCCCAAATCTCCTGAACAGCCCCCAGCAAAGTCTTGGTTCCCATCCGCTGCCGAACACAGCGCGCGCAACCGAACTGCTTCGATTTCCCTTCGACGGCCTGTGACAGCTGACCCCTCAACTCAGTCTGATCATGGCAAGGGGCCGGCGCCGCTTTTGAACTTTGCTTCCAATTTCCCAGAGCCTCCACGTCCCCGAGAAGGCCCTCGGCAAGGCCCTGGATCGAGACGCGGCCAAGGGCTACGCCCCCCACCGGGCTCGCCCCTCGTCAACTTTGCAACTGGGGGACAACAAGGACCACCAGGATCACCAGGAGGAAGACCCGGTCCGCCTCCTGCCGGCGGTCCTCTACCGCAGCCGGGCCCGCGAAACCGTAGCCGCTCTATTGCCAGTGCCAGCGGCGTCGGCGGCGGCTCTCGACGCATGCCTGGCGCCGAAGACCTCCCTTCTGCATCTGCACAAAACCGAGGACCCGGCCCACGAGCGAGCCGAATGCCTCCCCCTCCTTCTCCTCACGGCCCCGTGCCGCCGCACCGTGATCATCGCCGTCCGGGTCCTTTGTTGCAGGAACGCCAAGAGCGTCCCAAAGAGCGCCCCAGAGAACGTCCTCAAGAGCGACGGCCAGGGCCTCTAGTCAACTCAGCCCGATAATGGATATGCACTGTACATATATACCGGTGATGCATGATAGCGACATGCATTTCCTTGTCATGAGACCCTGATCCAGAGGCAAAGAATTTTTGATATTCGGGGTTTTTTTGGTATTCCCTTTGTTCATTCTTCTTGAATAACCCATCTTGGTCATAGCAACGATATTTTTGTTCCCTTTGTTCATCATTCAGCCAAGGCGAGTTGGCACCGGGGTGGGCTTTTAGGCTATACGTAGCAAACATTATGGAGGCAAATGGGAAAGACTTGGGTTGAGCTTTGTATTTTCATATTAGAGGAAAGCCGTGCAATTTCAGCAATTAGGATGTTTTGGTATTATAAAATATGCGCACGCGCACACGGGGAGAGATATCATGGGAAGGCTATAGTAATACATAACACTAATCCATTTCGTCCTTTTTTTTGTGTCTATATCTTGTCGTGAATATATATTAATCTGAATCTGTGTCGATTATACCATGTCGCCACAACGCTGTGAAGTCGTCCCGTCCTAGCTCTTTTGTTTCTATATATCTCGGAAGGATGGAACTTTATTTGCTTCGCTTGTAGATCTTGCCTAGGAACACCTCAAACACCTGCTTCTTGAGGCCCTCGCTCTCGTCAATCTTGTTGATCATGTCCTTGAGCTCGCCGGCGCGCTTCTCCTCAAACTCCTCGTACAGCTGCTTGAGCTTGAGGTCGTCGTAGAGCTGCTTGATGACTTTTTCCTTGGCGTCGTCCTTTTGGCCGTAGTTGTCCTCGAGGATCTTGCGCTGGTCGGGGGTGACGATCTTGAGGGCCTGGTTGACGAGCCAGGAGCACTTGTTGTCCTTGATGTCGGTGCCGATCTTGCCAATGTGCTCGGGCAGGCCAAAGTTGTCGAGGTAGTCGTCCTGGATCTGGAAGTACTCGCCGAGGGGGATGAGGATGTCCTTTGCGGTCTGGAGGTTGTTGGGGGTGGCGATGTCGAGGTAGTAGAGGGCGAGGGCGACGGGGAGGTAGAAGGAGTAGAAGGCGGTCTTGTAGATGACGATGAAGGAGTACTTGTCGAGGGAGAAGTTGTCGAGGTTGACGACGTCCTCGGGGGCGGTGAGCAGGTCGCAGAGCTGGCCGAGCTCGGTCTGGAAGGAGGTCTCGTGGAAGAGCTCGACGAGCTCGATGTAGCGGGGGTGGTCGCGGAAGAACTTCTTGAGGATGACGTAGATGCCGGACTCGAGGATGAAGGCGTCGTTGATGGCGATCATGCCGACGCCTTCCTGGCGGTACCAGCAGGGCTGGCCGCGGCGGGTGATGCTGCTGTCCATGATGTCGTCGGAGACGAGGAAGAAGGCCTGGAGGAGCTCCGTCATCCAGCCGAGGGTGGCCGTCTTGAAGTATTCGTCCTCGGTGAGGGGGCGGCCGAGGATGACGGAGGCGGAGTCGGGGACGGACATGCCGCGGTTGCATTTTCCGCCGAGAGGGTTGACCTCGAGGTTCTGTTTGGGAGAGGATGACGAGTTAGTTTTTTTTTGATGCTCCTATTTCTTTGGTTTGGCATTTCGTTCTGTGTGTGTGCCCCCCCTCCTCTCCCTTTTCTTCTTCTTCTGATTATATAGGGATAGATTGAATGAGAGCATTTCTACTCACCCTCTTGAGCCACTCAAGCTCCTTCTCGGGCAGCTTGTAGGATTTGGCATGGTCGAGGAGAGCTTCTTCCAGCTTGGGGTAGACAGCTTCAAACTCCTTGAGGGTAGTCTTTTGAGCCATGGTGATTGGAGTCAATTGTACAACAGGGAGAAGAATATACAAGAGAAGAACTTGAATTCCAAAGAAACAAGAGACCGGGAGAGAAAACTGCCACGAGTTGGGGAGAGACAATGATATACGTGTTGGGTGAGTGTTGGGTCGAACTCGGGGTTACTAGAACCAGACTGGACCCCTCTATTCAATTCCGGGAAAATTGCCAGAAATGCCGGGGGGGCCCTTCATTGCCTTTCCCTTTGGGGGGGGCGGTGAGCGGCCTCGATAAGGGCGGCTACGTGTAGTCGGTACCTGTAAAGTGAAGCTAAGCCCAGCCGGTCCAGCAGACGGCTCGAAGTAGAGTGTACGCGGAGGTTGGCGGCGGCTCGGGATGCGCTGTAATGGTGTGCCGGTACCTGAAAATTGGGGTGGGAACACGCTGTGGATTGTGACATCCCGATGAGAAACGGGCTCTACGAGGCAGAGAGTACTCCGTGCAAAAACATCTGCCACAGCTGCTGTAGAGCCCAAGACGCACTGTATTTCTGGGAGGTAGCGGCGCTAATTTCTCTCCCACCATCACTGGGTACTCTACTGATACGAGTACGGACCAAGGCACGTACTCGGATTTGGCTGCAGCGCTTATCGCGAACCACTGACCAGACAAGTTGATACCAAAGTTGATGCCATCAGCCTGATGCATTTGCATTTGCACTTCTGCACCGCTGACGCCCTGCATGAGAGCTGATTTGGATTCATGACATAGACAGGCAAGGGTTTGTGGAGTCACAGGAAGGGCTGCGGTTGAGCCTTTGAGCCCGCGTTTTCATTACCCGCCTGGCTCTGGCTCGGGTTTGTTTACTTGAAGCGTCATGGTCTTGAGCTCTCACGAGGTTGCCCTGCTCCGGGTGGCCCTGCAGGAGGCGGTCGTCAAGTGTTCCGAGAGGTGTCTCTACCAATCGGCAAAATGGTGAGCTGCTGAGTCTCCTTTGCCTAATTCTGTCGAATTTGCGCGTCATCAATGGCCATAACTGATCGTCTAATCCATCGAATCAAGGGCAGCCGAGCTACTCAATGCAGTGCATGAACCGGATGACGATGAGGACGAGACGGCCAGTTCCGGGCTCAAGCACACATCGCCAATCTTTTCGCCAAATCAAGATGCTGACGAGGCTGCTATGGAGGCAAAGGAGCTCAGCAAGTACCTCCTCGCCAAGTCTCTGTTTGACTGCAAGGAGTACGATCGCTGTGCCGCCGTCTTCTTGCCGGACTCGCTGCTGTCCACTGTTCTCGACTCGCGCCTCGAAAAGCCCCCTGTTGCTGCCAAGGGCAAGGGCAAGTCCAAGGCGACGGATGAGACCAAGCTGAGCGCCGTTCCGCTGCCCAAGCTCAGCCAGAAGAGCTTATTCTTGGCGCTGTATGCCAAGTTCATGTCCGGGGAGAAGCGCAAGAATGAAGAGTCGGAAATGGTTATGGGCCCCCAGGATCTCGGCACTGTCGTCAACAAGCAGCTTCTCATTGTTGGGAGGTTTCTGGCTGCTTGGTTTGAAGAGAGGACGACAGACGATGATGAGGTCCTCGGAAGTCAGGGCTGGCTGGAATACCTGTACGTTGAAAGGCCCTTTCCGTGATTTAGCATCTGCTAACGCTAGAGGATTTAAACAGATATGGCATGGTGCTTGCCAAAGAAAAGAATGATGAGAAGGCAATGGAGTTTCTCGTACGAAGTGTTCACAAGTACCCCATGAACTGGGGCTGCTGGCTAGAGATGACATCTCTCATATCAAGAGTTGAAGATGTAAGCATCGATCGTTTGTCTTCTCCCCGCTATACCACGGTAACTGATACAACATCTGCAGCTGAATCGGATAAGTCGACACTGCCCCCAAAATATCGTTTCTTACATGTTCCATCTCCACACGTCGCTTGAGCTATACCAGCAATCCGCAGGGCTTGCCACCTCTCTCGATCAGCTCTTTGCCATCTTTCCGACCTCCTCATTTCTCCTCACTTGCAACGCATTGCTGGCCTACCATGCAAAGGATTTAATGGCCGCCGAGCAACATTTCAGCCGGCTACTATCACTTCATCCACACAGATTGGACTCTCTGGACCACTATTCGAATATTCTCTACGTACTAAACATGCAGCCAAAGCTCGCATTCTTAGCTCACCTGTGTTCCAACGTGGACAAGTTTCGACCAGAATCCTGCGTCGTCATAGGAAACTACTACTCGCTCATATCAATGCATGAGAAAGCGGTGAATTACTTCCGGCGAGCACTCACGCTTGACAGATCGTGTCTCTCAGCTTGGACCTTGATGGGACACGAATACGTGGAGCTCAAGAACACTCATGCTGCCATAGAATCATATCGCCGGGCTGTGGATGTCAATCGGCGAGATTATCGTGCTTGGTATGGTCTCGGACAGACATACGAAATGCTGGAAATGCATACCTATTCGCTGTGGTACTATAAAAAGGCGGCGGGTTTGCGCCCCTGGGATGGCAAAATGTGGATGGCGGTTGGGTCATGCCTCCAGAAGATGAGCCGAGAGCGTGATGGCATCAAAGCACTTAAACGCGCTCTGCTTGCGGATGCGTACTATGACGTTGGCAGCAGCTTTGGCAGCGGCGGCGATCTGTTGGGTGCTCGTGGGGCCACTGGTCATATGGACCCGGAGATCCTGCTACAGATTGCTACAATGTATGATCAGCTGGGCGAAGAGGAAGAAGCCAAGGCTTACATGGAGCTGTGTATGGCCCAAGAAGACGGCGGCCCAGCTGCGGCTGGGAATCTTGGTGAGTCTGTGAGGATTCATAATGACTCACCGGGAGGCTCTGATGGCTATCCCGACCGAGAAGATCGCAACGTGGGGGGGAATGCAGAGGGTACTGGCGTCACGGCTGCGACCAGCAAGGCTCGGATGTGGTTGGCCAAGTTCGCCATGCGCACAGCAGATTATACGACGGCGGATCGGCTGGCAGCGGAGCTGTGTCAGGATGGGGTCGAAGTTGAAGAAGCCAAGGCTTTGGCTCGGGAGGTCAGATCGAGGCTCGAGGCATCTGGGATGTTGGGGCCTGCTAGCTAGCGGCGGGTGCAGGCGCTGCCTCGAATTCGAACATGACTCATATCATGGACTGTATGAAGCAGAATGACTTGATGGTATGGAGTTGGTTCCCCCTTTGTCATGTACAAAGTTAGATGAATAGCATTAATTGAATCAATGGAAAGGGGTTACTCGATTTCACGATGCTTTACCAATGCTTCAATGATGTAAGGAGCGTAATTTTTTTATATTGAATCAATACTTGTCTAGGTAAATAACCTAATCTAACAAAGCCTTTTTAGATCGCCTTCAGTTCTCATGTAATTTTTTAATCGTGTATCCCTAAAATATCAAGGAGTGTGAAGAAGATTAAATCAAAAGCAAGAAATTAAAAGCTGAGAACTGTCCCGTAAAGTGGGATAATGGCACTTTTGTTGATGGGCCGCCGAGGGCCCATGCGGTAGCGAAGTCGTCGCTTAGAGAGCCAGGGCGGCAATACCAGCGACGACGAGAGCTCCGAGACCAGCCTTGTTGTTGGCGGCAGCACCGGTGGGGATGACCGGGGGAACTGTGCCGGTGGCAGGCGGCGGCGGAGGGGGAGGAGGGGGAACGACGGTGTGGGGAGGAGGGGGAGGAGGAGGGACAACCGAAGTGTTGGGAGGAGGAACAACGGTGTGGGGGGGAGGAGGTGGAGGAGGTGGCACGGAGGTGACCAGAGGAGGAGGAGGCCTGGTGTGAGGAGGAGGAGGAGGAGGAGGTGGAGGCGGCGGCGGCGGCGGCGGCGCGACGGAAGTGTTGGGAGGAGGAACCACGGTGGTGACCGGAGGCGGCGGTGGAGGAGGAGGAGCCACAGTGGTAACCGGAGGAGGAGGAGGAGGGGGAGGAGGAGCCACAGTGGTAACCGGAGGAGGAGGAGGAGGAGGCGGGTGAGGCTGAGTAATAGTGCAAGGACAGTCTTGTTGGGAGTTAGTGGAAGCTGAGGAAGCTGGATTCTTGTACTGAGGGGATACTCACTGGTAATGGTCAGAGTAGTTGGCTCCGTGACAGTATAAGTGGTGCTGCCAACAGGGATGGTGGTAGGAGACTACAAGAGAGAGAGTTAGCTAATTGTTCAAGCTAATAGAAGTTCGGCGAGGTTCATGAGAGGAAACTTACAGGACAGAAGGTAGTGTAATCAGTGGTGATGACCGTGGTGGTGTACGTCTGCTCATGCTCCTTGGTGTAAGTGACCGGGTTGGTGTAGGTGACCTCATGCTCCTTGGTGTAGGTGACCTCGTGCTCCTTGGTGTAGTCCTTGGTGTAAGTGACGGGGTATTCGTGCTCCTTGGTGTACTCCTTGGTGACAGGGTATTCGTGCTCCTTGGTATACTCCTTGGTGTAGGTGACAGGATACTCGTGCTCCTTGGTGTACTCCTTGGTGACGGGATACTCGTGCTCCTTGGTGTACTCCTTGGTGTAGGTGACAGGATACTCATGCTCCTTGGTATACTCCTTGGTGACGGGGTACTCGTGCTCCTTAGTGTACTCCTTGGTGACGGGGTACTCGTGCTCTCTGGTGTACTCCTTGGTGTACTCCTTGGTCACAGGATACTCATGCTCCTTGGTGTACTCCTTGGTGACAGGGTATTCGTGCTCCTTGGTGTACTCCTTGGTGTACTCCTTAGTGACGGGGTACTCGTGCTCCTTAGTGTACTCCTTGGTGACGGGGTACTCATGCTCCTTAGTGTACTCCTTGGTGACGGGCGCCGGATACTCGTGCTCCTTATGCTCGTCCTTCTTGCCCTCATCCCCGTGCCCGTCCTGGTTGCCACCCCACTTCTGGTTCTGATCATCCTTCTTGGGCTCTTCCTTCTTGGGCTCTTCCTTCTTGGGCTCTTCCTTCTTGGGCTCTTCCTTGTGCTCATCCTGGTTGCCACCCCACTTCTGATTCTGATCATCCTTCTTGGCATCTCCCTTGTTGTCTTCCGACTTGGAAGCGTCAACCTTGTTTCCAATTGTGGAGGGGTCAATCTTGGGCTCATTGGCCTGGGGACCAAGGTTGCCGTCGGCCTTTGAGTCAACGCTCTGCTCATCCCGCTGGTTCAAGTCCGCGATAGACATCGCAGACGTGAGCGCCGCGGTGGACGCCAAGATGTGCATGAAACGCATGGTTGCGGAAAAGAGTTGATGCTCTCAACTAAAACAAGAAGATGTGGCAAGCGAGTGTACGTCTGAAGACTGTAGTGAAAGAATGTTGCTGTGATGCAAGAAAGAATTCCAGTCGATGGCGGGATCAAGGCGCCTCTTTGTAGTTGAGAAACAGCGGGTCAATCGCAGAATGACGGCTGCATTCAGATCGAGTATTGAATTGCTGCACCTTGCCGCATGAGGAGAGGCTTCATGAAGTCGTCTCTCGCTTAAGAGAAGCATCGCCGGATCGAGGGAAGCTTGGGAGCTTAGTCTGTGGCTGCATGATGCCTTCTCGTAAACATGGTGTTAGTGCGATAAAGAAGTGTATTGGTCAAAATGAGATAACTAACATGAGAAGTAGAGAGCAATCTCATTGGGATTAGACGTGTTACGAAAACGTCAAGTGGGTATCATCCATGTGCCTGGGACAGATGTTCGTTTGGCATATGTCGAGCTCTCGAGGGTCAGCGCCTCATTTCCGAACAGTACAAGATGGAGCTGGAGATGGGAAATAACTGGACCGCTAACGGTCTGATGTCACGCAAACGTTTAGGATCTGGTTAGGCTGCGAGTTTCCGAACCGTTGGTGGCTTCTGCTAGTAAACAAAGTTAGAGTTTCATCTAAGCTCTGCAGCTAGCTGGTAATAATGCGATACCTCGTTCCCTTGTAGTTTGATCTTGGATTAACACATTGGCCAAGTCCATAACTGCTGCTCTAAGCAAATCTTTCCCATCAAGGCAGGTTGCCCAGTAGCTATCGTCGTGTCAACTAGTCCCCTGAAGGTATGTGTCAGAAGAATTTATCTGGAGCAGCCTAACACGCCAGCATTTTGGGTTGAATATGTGTTCAGATGCAGTTCATGATTTAGTTCATGACGCCTTCCATAGCAGCAGCTATTGGGAAGAGGGAGTTCCGAAGATGCCAGAGGCTTGCCCCAACAATATCGTTACATGGCCTTAATCGTTAGCCATCTCGGGCATGATCCGAAAGCAAGCCGCCATCTTGAAATCGATAGGTTGATACTCCATTGTACGGCAGAATGGAAAGCTGGATCCGGGATCATCTATGAGTGCCATCGAATGAAAGATAACCAAACATGGTGCTCCCATGCAGCTCCCGTTAATCACCAAAGCTGTTAGTCCGATTGAATGCAGTTCGACAATGGTAATACGCTTATCCGCCGACTTTTAGGCGTTAAGGAGCCTTGCACCGATCTGATGTCGCCAAACATGATTCCGGCTGGCAGATTGAGTTTTGACTGGAATGCGGATAGACGGCAACGGAACCGACCACTAAGCTGGGCAGCCGAAAGCAACGCAGAGAGAGTTTGCCACCAAAAAACGGTGGGAAACTCTCAGGGCTGTAAGCTAAAAATAGGTCCGATAGAAGCAAGATGATGGCTGGCGAGAGAAATGTTGGCTGGTGGAAGAATGGTGGCTTTCACGTCTGGCTGTGTATGTACTTGCATGTGAAGAATGGCATGCAGCTTGGAGTCGCGATGTGCGCGTCTAGATGCATGTTAGTATGTTGGATGCAGCCTCAAGCAGGCGGAAAAAAGGTTGGATGGTATCTGCATGAAGATTTACCTCGTATTTTGGATTTTACGTACAAAATTGATGTGCAAGGATCTGAAAGTCGATTGAGTTTGGAGTTGCATCGTGAGGAATACGAGAGAGGCCTCGTACTTACCTTGAATGATTAACACTGTATAACGCTGCTTATCGCCGTAACCCAGTACAGTGCTATCCGAAGGATACCCAAGTAAACACTGTACATACAATCCCAACACCACGTGCTTTGTGCTTCGTCCTCCCTTGACGGAATTAGTAGCCAGCAAATTCCCCCTCACTACTACCAAGTGCAGAGCATCCGCCTCATAGCTTTCCGCCGTGAATCTGCTTCTTACGCCACGTCTGTAACCGTCACATGCAAATGCATCCTCTCGGAGAAAATACGCAACTTTGTCCTACGTTCCTACGCCCTGTGAACGGGGGAGCGGAGAGTGACGATAGTGGCACGATGTCCGTCATTGGCGAAGTGAAGTAGGCCCCAAGGAGGATTTATTTACCTTTATCTTCTTTCTGTATGGCAACCAAATCTAACTACATTGCTCCCCACAGGCAGAATCATAAGTCTCTACGACGAAGAAATCGCTGGAGCTTCTCAGGACAGGACCATTGTCCATGGCCTTTGCATAATGTGCACCTTGATGACCCTCGTCACACCCATGCCACGCCTTTATCTGGCACATCGTCCTCTTCTTTGATTCGCATTCGTTGATGCTTCTCCAAGTTCCACAGACATCTGTGCTCGTGCGATGTACTCACTCACCGGTTTTGCATGTGTTGGCGCTGTGCATCCGTTCTCATTCCAACTTCTGCCCGACGCCTTAATGGCTCATGCGGCCCCAACTTTGACATATGGGTGGTGCGCTCTCACCACGTCTCTGAAGCACCTCGTTAGTCAACAAAACTATCGTTTCACGGCCCAATTGCACTAGCTGTCCTCTCCTCTCGGCCAAGCCCAAAGACACGCAGACGCATTTCCACCTGCTAAACGGCTATTCCCACCGAGGGCTGATGGCCGTCAATCGATAGCCCAAGCATGGCAAAAACTCGGGCTCTGCTTTACGGCCCAAACTCGCCACTGTGCGGGCTATCCGAATCGCCTAGACTGTTGGATCTGCGACGGCGTTTACAATGGAGGAAATTTCTGTGCGTATTCTTCGGATTTCCTCTTGGGGTTGGCCAAGTCGCCCTCCTGCCAGTTAACCCAGCTTTGGGTTGGCTTTGACAAAAATATCAGAACTGGGCTCGAGCTATCTCACGCTACATACAGAGGCAAGTTTACATTTACCGTATCAGGCAATCATGTCCATTTTTAGTGAGGGATAACTGGGCCATTCTGATATTCCCGGGTGAAGGCTGAGCAGTTTAACCCATTCAATGTTCGCTGTCCATTTGAGAAAAAAATTCTGGAATTCTCCCACGAGGAACCCCTCACCGTGTGAATGGTGAACGCTGTAATGGTCCTCATGCTTGCCAGTTGCTGACACGAAATGGGGATCTGGAGGGCTTCCAGAGAACCAGTTATCAGTTGCCACGCAAACACTGGCTTCTTAAAGGCTATTCAGCCGTTGCCAAGTCTCATTGTTACTGAGCCACGGTTCTTGGTATGCGGTACATGTGTTAGGCGTACAAATCAGGTCTGCCCTCTTGTTAAAGCTGCTTTCGCAAAAGGCTCCAAATGCTTGCAACACGGTGTGCCTTGATATCTCCAGAAGCCCCACCGCCAGTATTGAATTATGGAAGGGTTGCATCATCAAGCACACGGGTGAACATGTCGAATCAGCTTTGCAGCCTAGAGCCGTGTTAACTAACAATGTGCTACGAGCACTATTGAAGTCAACCCAATGCGCCTCTACGTGGCTTGCAGAGTTGCATTGAACGCAATGGTGCCCGTATACTACAGGCTATTGTCGGCCTCCCGCACAATATTGATAGCATGCTTTACGTGCGGCCGAGAGTGATTCTTGGTTGGATATCGACGTTGAGATCGTGACAATGGGCCCGCGCATCGAGGAGAAATCGCGATTGTTTCTGGAGGCGGAAGGTAGCGGGAGGGAGGGAATCACATGGAATCTCCCTGCTGCTTGCGGTCATGGAACCTCCCTGCTGCTTATGGAGTGGATGGAGCCTTGAGGATTTTTCAGGTCCCACCTCTTCTGGTCGTTCCTTGCGACTCATGAGAAGCTGCGCAAGCAGGTTTGCAGGTGGTTGCAACATCCCTGCGCCCTGCATTCTCGGTGACAAGGATTGGCTGGGTTCCCAGGACGGATCGAAGCATCGGATGCCCTAAGGAAGGAAACCCTGCAAGACACAGAGGCAAAAAAAGACCACAGACTCAGCCCTCCTCAGCGGGGATGAGGAGAATTGCTCGATGGTGCCCAATCCACTGCCTTAGTCGCGAGCTATTTACGCAGGGGACAAGCATTCATGAGAGGCCGTGCGCACGATCTCAACCGAGCCTGATGGATGAAAGATGGGTATACTGTAGAGTGTCGAACCAGTTGCTTTTCTTTCATTCAAGTATCTGGACAGTGATTTACTTTCTGCCACCGACGCAACCACCATCATCAGCCAGACTGCGCACTGCAATCCCTCTCGCCAAGAGGCCTCGTGCAACTTTCTGCGACTGGCTCGACACAGGCTTTTGCTCGGAGACAACGGAGGCACGACAGGAGAATTCTCACGATCCACCCGCCGGTCCGGCGACCTGTCAGGGCAGGCCACATGGATTCCTGCCAGGCACCGACCAATGGAGTCACGGCCCCGGGTCCCGGCCGTTATGCAGCTAGAAAAGACGGTTCCCCAAGCCGTCGGGCACCCTCTGGGCCAATTGCAAGCTCTGAAACGGGTCGGGAGGGTACTTGGACTCGAGGTATCGGCCTCTGCATTTGGGTGGCGATGAAGCGCCTTGTCGAATACGAATTGGACACTATCGAAAAGTACCTGCGAGCACCGAACTTTAAGTCTTATGCTCGGCTCTGGGTCCTGAATCCGGTTCAGGAACCCGTCCCTCCCAGCCAGTGACAACACAGTGCCGCTGGTTTGAATTTGGGACCTTGGACTGCACACCATCTTTCTCTGCCGCTTGCTGACAAGCTCTGATACGCTGAGCGCCGGCAAATCGACGAGAGTTTCTTCTTCTTCTCTCATTGGAGTATCTGGGCCGTTTGCGAAAACATTCAATTATGCTTTTTCGCAAGGCGTCCGTGGCCGGGCGATGTGCATCACAAGGGGAAGGGGAACGAGCGCAGCGGCAACTGTAACGTGCAACAGCGCTGCAGTTCCCATTCAACTCGGAGTACGCCCATCGGCGGCCCTCTTTTCACTCATGTGGGATGTCTAGAAGTGGCTGACAATGGACACCATTCGTTTCAAAATGCGCCAGCACAAGGCCAGTCTCGGTGACCTGTCTTGCTAGTCGCAATTCGTCTTGTCGTCTCTTCCAACTCGCACTTTTTTCTTCTCTGAACAGAGAACAGGCCCACTCGCTGGTCCAAGTGTGCCGCGCAATGGGTTCCCGAAGCTCACTTCTTTACGAGCCCACCGGAATCCATTGTGGCGTTGAGAGCAAGGGTGCTCAACGGCTTCGGCTTCCGGGTGTCCAGCATGCTACCGCTTCCGTCCACACCACTCGCCAGCACCACCGCTGGCTAAGAAATGGTGCCTGCATTAGACGCTGTCCTCTATGCACATGGAAAGCTTTTTCAAGGTCAAGCATGCAGGCACTAAAATAGCCTCTGGGCTCGTCGGTCTCGTTGAATCGACCCACGATAGGCGCCCACAGGGGGGGGACAAAGAGGGGAGAGAACAGTGCCGGCTGTTCTGCCCCCCACTAGACGACCCTTTGCCACGCGTATGCTGGCCGACGAGCCCTCTTGGCTATGTGGTTTGAGTAATTATAAAGAGGACGGCTTCCTCCCTTTCTTGTTCACAGGAAATCTCGTCAAGATATCACCATCACTGTTCATTTCACTTGTCTTCGGACTATCATTCATTCTTGTGTACTTTACACCTTTTCACTCCTTCTGGAAAGCAGAGTATAACGGCAAGGCCCGTCACATTATATACAACACTCTTTCTTCAGCTTCTCAAGCAAACAAACCCCAAACAAACATTCAAAATGCGTTTCGCTACTTCTGTTGCTACTCTCATTGCCTCTGCGGCTCTCTCTTCCGCTGCCACCGTCACCTTCTGGACTCTGGACAACGTTCAACGCACCATCTACTTCACCTGCAACCCTGGCAACTCTGACATTCCCTCTGTCACCGTTGACGGCAGCAAGAACACCACTGTTACCTTCCCTGATACCTGGCAAGGCAACTTCTACGCCGTCAAGGAGGGCGCTGCCAACATTCCCGGCATGCTCGGTGAGGTCAACTTCGGCAGCTGGCACGGACTGACCTACTTTGACGTCTCCGCCATTGTTGACCCCAACGACAAGGACAACGTCAAGCTGATGTTCCCTGCCGAGTCCTATGAGCCCATGTCTGGCTGCGTCAACTTCCCTTGCAACAACGCCTACTACCTCCCTGACGACATTCAGACCAAGGCTACCATGGAGAGCGACCTCATCACCACTCTTGGCTCCGGCTCCATTGCTCACTCCTTCGCTGAGGAGCAGTAAATAGCTGTATATTCAGACTTTCCTTTTTTCTTGGTTTGACTTTGGGGAGTTTCTGGCTCCCCTCGGTGCTGAGCACCAGGCCACTCATGACGCTATGATGAAATGCAAAAACTTATCATTATGATATGGGTTACGGGTTATGGGATATAGGTTTTGCACGGGAACAAAAGGACAAACCTGGTTGCGAGCACAACCATTCACTTCTTACAGATTTTGGTCTTTCTTCTTCTCACCTAGAGTGAGAGAGGGGGGCCAGAGGCTGGCACTCATTTCAACTTACACTGCCCACTGCGGCGCTTCACACACTCTTTTACTATGTTTTACAACTTTTTTCTTCACTTCATGAATACCCCCTTTTTTTTCTTGTTGTATATATTTATACTTTATATACAGATTCTGGATAGATATAGAACTGGCAATGTGGAAATTTGATTCAAAATCATGTTCTCTGCTCCTGTGACTCAGCGATTTTTTGAGACATTCACCACACGCAGCCCGTCAACCACGCCCCCCGAAGCAGAGAAGCACGCGATTTCTTTCCCTCTTTTGCCTCAGCGTTTAGATGATGACCAATTGCTCATGACAAAAAATCAAGTCCATTAGTGCGAACCGCCCTGACGCTAAGATGTCGTTTTTTTCTTTCTTTTGCTACTTTAAAGCGAGGCTATCAGCGCTTTCAACCAGCTGCCAACACCCAAAATCCAACACCGACTCGTGCACTAACAATAAGACGACGGCGTAAGTTGCCCAAAAGAGACGATGCTGCTTTTTTTTTTTCTTCCGGAGGCGAAAGAAGAAAAATTTGGAAGCAGAATGGAAGAATCGCCGAGATTGTTCGGACTTATTATGGGTTGCTATTATAGGGAACTAAGCTGTTTCGCCACCTTGTCATAACAATGAAGCAAAAAAAAAAAAAAAATTAACCCAAAAGCTTTTTTATCTGATCTCATGACGTGAAGCCACGCACAAAAGAAAAAAGAGCAGTTTTAGGGCTTCCTTTCTCCTGTAGACGGCTAAAATCGAAGGGAAAAAAAACTTGTGTGTGCGAGTAGAAGGGACCCCGAATGGCGTCAACCTTTCAGCTCACTGTTTTAAACTTGACAAGCGCCACATTTGGTATGTGGATAACGGAACAAAACCCGAAAAAGTTCTCTATTGTTTTTGTTTCTGCACGTGGGAGATGATTACAGAGGCGGCAAGGTTTTGCGCCGTTACTCGGCTGCTCGCGCTTCTCGCCGACAATACAAAAAAGAAACAAACTTGCACACTGTACTGACAAAAGAAGAAAAAAAAATATTCTAGCGGTTCTTTTGACATGACTAGCCAGAATGCCTTTGGAAGCGCCGTAGAACTTCCGTTTTGTCAAAGGTGCCATGGTGTAATCGCCGAGTCAGAACTCCGTGTAATAATAGGTAACGAGTATAGAAGGCGATGATTCAGATCATCATCTGCATAGCATTATATGTACACGACGCGGATAGCCATGCGTCGCTTCTTCGCTTTGTACAATCGTAATATACAAATCCAACAATATGAACCAAAAACAAGGCAACCGTAAACTCCCATCTAATGATCCCGTGTCTGTCGTAAAGCAAAAGCCATTCGATTAGATGTATATATAGGCTCAAGTGATTCTCTCACTCCTTTGGTGATTCCTCTGAGGATTTCTTTGTTTCCGATTCAACCTTGTCCTCTGTCTTAAAATCGCCCGTTCCATTAGTTGCAGTTGCAGTTGCGGTTGTAGTCGCGGTAGATGAATCCTCCTCGACTTTCTTTGACCTGACAATATTGGCGAGGAATTCACCAGTATCACCAAACCCGTCAATTCTTAGCAACTTGTCACCAAAGACGTCTACGTCTTGCATCATGCTAGAAAGATGCGTTAGAAAGAAAGATTAATATATTCAATACCATCACTTACCGCCTCTGACCAGCCTTCGTTGTTACGGCCGCTTGCCGCAAGGCATCTCCGAGCTGGGTTTTGTAACTTGCAAATACGGGCACCATGATAAGCTGAATGGACGTTTCGGGAAGATGCTTTGTCAGGACACGGTGCAAGGTTGTTGTCTCTTTGACGAGCATCTCTATGTACGGGTGTGGTCCCTCGGAAGTGTCAGAGTCCCAGTTGATGGCTCGAATGCTCTTTGCATGATTAACAGCACGGCCACTCATAATTTCGATCAGTTTTTGATGGATGTTGTCTTGGTGCTCTTGAAACAAGCGCCGAATTTTATCAAACTCCCCCATGAGGTTAGAGACATTGGCACCAGAGCCCGCCTGACGGCGAACATACTCTCTCACGTGAGGGATCAAGGTAGCCATGAATGCCAAAGCCTGAGATGCAAGAGCCAAATGTCTCGTTGTGATATTCTTCAGGCCGGCCGATCGAGTAGCACCAGCTCCCAAGATGAGTTGAAAGCATCGGGAATTGAAGAGCTGCAGGTAAGCTACCAAAGATGTTGCGATATCCGACGTCATGGATGGGATTCCAGCAATCAACTGCAGGAAATCTCCCATGCCGTCAAGGCATAGCACAGCAGAATTCGGAAGCACGAATTTCTCTGACTCAATGATTGCGTTTCGAACCTTTTCTTTACCAGCACCGTTTGCTTCCGACGAGCCAACATCCGAACTCAGTTTCTTCGGACTCTCGAAAGGAATCCATATCCTACTGTTTGCGGTCCAAGCTTCAATGTCATGAGTACTGCACTCGAGGATCTGATTCAAGAGCAGGGTGTTGTCGTCTGTAAAGTCCCTAGCACCCCATTGGTCTGATTCCATCCCCTGGGCAAGCTTTTGCATTTCGGCGTCGCGATACTTTTGTACAAACTCCTTGATGTGGTTGTTGACCACAGTCTTCAGGGTAGAGCAACTTCTTCCAGATATCGCTTCGCATTCGTATGTAAAGAATAAGTTGAGGTTGAAATATCGCAAGAATAAGTCGAGTGGGAGATGGATAGCTTGCTCTGAGCGAACCTTGAGAATCTTGACAATCTTTTCGTTGGCCAGGTCGACGGCTTGCGCTAGCAGGTTTCCTAGATCAATGGCTTTATGAAGCTCTTCCTGAATTGCAAACGCGGATGGCTGCGGTGGGTTGTTCATTTGCCGATCATATCGAGGGCTAGGCAAGGGAGATCTGATCGGCGGCGATCTGAGTCCATCGCCATTGGGCTGATCTGAAAGCGAACTGGCAATGTCGAGTAAAACCTTCACTTGGGTCGACACGCGCCTCAACGTCTCTGTCACACCAGTGTATATCTTTATGAGAAGTGCCTCTGCATCTTCTGGGTCCAATGACCGTAGATTGCGGGCCAGATTCGCAGACTTCTCCTGGCTTGACAAGTGTTTACCTCCGCTTGCGGTAGAAACTGACATCATGGACATGTTATCATCGTCATTGGAACTTGGGAGCGGCCGGCGGATCAAGTTCCTGATTTCGCGAAGAATCTCCTCGCGATAAGCGGCTGCAGCCACTGCAACATGCTTCGCGCGATTCAACCCAGTCATTACTGGCAATAGCTGCGCTTTCAATTCGTCTGTACCCGCCAAATATGTGGGAAAGATGGACGGTGACCTAGGGTAGTTGCCCCTTTTTGGCGCTGCGTTGCTCCATCGAAGAAGGACGTCGGCCGTTGTGAGAGAGTCAAAATGCAGACGAATATCGGATGAAAGCATGAGTGAGAACTGAGATTCGTACGCCTTGCCGATGCGAAATCGAAGTTGAGTGAGATCCGAATTAACCCCCTGTAGAACCGAAGCAGACCTTAAATCTCTTAATCGAGGCATATCAGCCCGCTCACCAGACTCTTCGCGCTCGCCCGCTATTAACAGTTCCAACGAGTCGATGCTGGCCAGTGCCTTTTCCACCTCCCCAGCATCAACGAGGGACTCACAGTTGGCCACCCCCTCGGTAACCAATCTCAACTGCCAAATGGCGTCGCTGAGCTGTCGGAGGTTTTCCTGCCGTCGTTGTTTTTGAACCATCATCAAGCCGTTTGCGGCCACTCTCTCATCTAAAGCTTCCAGTTCCTTTCTCAAAGCCTTGATTCGCTGAACCGAGTCCGCCGCTTCAGAGTGGAGCTCTTTTAAGGATCCCAGTGCCGTGAAGAACGTGGTCGATGCGGTTGAGATGGAGTTGATAAGGTGGATTTCAATGGTATCCATGTACCAGGACAGTTTCTCTTGCAGGATGGCATTCGTTGCCAGTGTTTTTCTCGGCACCACGGCGTTTCCATTTCCCTCATCTCTATGCTTCTGTATGACTTCGGAGCGTTCGCTTACGACATCAAAAGTACGGGGGTTCTCGAGATGAAAGTCGTCGTCAAAATACACTGTAGGGATAGTTGACAGCGGCGGAGGTCCTTGTGTGGCCTTACGGCTGAGCGCTACTGGCCTCCGCAAAGAGCTAATAGTGTCTACCGAAGTCACAGAGGACAGGGAGGCCGTAGAACCCTTCCTAGGAAGACGACCTCTAGCTCCCGGCCGCAAGAGCCCATCGCTGGTACTATCGGCCTGCTCGTCTTGTCTGCTGCCTCGCCGATTGGCATTCTCCTCTTCCTCGTTTTCCTTGACGCGGCGAAGCTGCTCGTAAAGAGCGCCAATCTGAGAAAGGTAGGGCGCAAATTCTTCGGGGTCAACCTTGGGTATGTTGGTCAATGTAACGGGTGGGATGTCCCTTGCGGTGGGAGGCTTGTGAGAACTCGAGGCTGGCGCTGATGTATGAGGCTGGAGGCCTGTTCGGACAATAGGGGGTTGCAGCAACGTCGAGATGGCTATGGCGCCTCAATTAGCTAGCGCTATCTTGGTCGAATGCGGCCCAACAAACCATTCTGCCCAGATTCGTAGACAGCAGACGAGCCGCCGCTCAGCGATGTATCCAAAGTCCCTCCTATGGAATGAATTGAGCTGGCTACGGAGCTCCGTCTCGAGTGCGGCCGCGGATGGCCTTGGCCTATTCGACCGCTGCATTGCCGTCAGCTACCGGACAGCTTCGCCCGCGAAGCTCAGAAAGGAATGCCCACCTGTGGAAAGGATAGTCTGCTCGGCCTCCAGGAGACAATGGGGACAGATTATCGACAGATCTGCCGGCGCTGGGAGTGGAATACATGGCTGATTGCAATGGCTCGTGGAAGACTGCGAAAGGAAGCTCGGATTTGGCTGTGGCTGAGCAAGACGACGAAAGCAATGCTACCAACTTCGGATCTCCAAGTCCAAGGTGCGTACGGAGTATTAGAAGAGACTATCGGGGTATCATCGCTAGCAAATGAGGATTGGAAAAGAACAGACGCCGGATTAGGATTAAACAGAAAGCAAGAGAAGAGAATCGTCAGCAGGATCAAGCGTCGAGCTGCCGGTCAGAATTAAAGAGAGAGTTGACGAAGCAATCCGCAGCCAAGCTACATGTACGAGTACTCCTGACCCGACATTCTCCCGAAACACACGTGATACGGTCCCTGGAGCAAAGAGTGCGCTAGGCCGTTTCCAGCCGTGGCACGACCCTGCTGCAACCACTAAACGCGTGTTTCGCGTCTCTTTTCCAGGCGCGTCGAGGCCCTGTAGCCAGATTTGCCCCGCCAACCCTTCAGTTCAGGTTTGTACCCAGCAGCAGCTTGGGTTGAGTTGAAGCATCACCTAAATAAAACAGCCTGTGGCCGCTCGTTGAAATCTGCTTCCTGTCCGACGCAATTTGATTCGTCACAGCAAGCATCACATCATGGATCGTCAGTCGGTGTATTCGGCTCGGGTGTACGAGTCCAACTTTGGCGATGTCGACGACACCAGGCTGCAGCTGCAGTCCCAGCTGGAAACATTCATCTTGGATTTCCGCCTCGACAACAACTTCGTCTACCGGTAATGGCACAGCTGCCCTCCAAAGACACGAGGGATCCCCCGACTGACTGACCTTGTATGCAGAGACCAGCTGAGAGAAAATGCGCTGCTGAAAAACTTCTACTGCGATGTCGATATTAAGGATTTAATCAGCTTCAATGAAGAGCTTGCACACAGACTGGTGTCAGAGCCTGCCGAAATCATTCCTCTCGTGAGTGGCCCCTCGACTTGCCATGGAGGCAAGCAGAGTTGACAAGGAATCAATTATTTAGTTCGAGGCAGCATTGAAGAAGTGCACACACCGAATTGTGTTCCCCCACGAAAAGGCCGTCGACCTCCCCGACCACCAGCTTCTGCTGCATTCCGATGCAGACGATGTGTCGATCCGCAATCTCGATTCCATGACAATTGCCCGAATGGTCCGCGTGCCGGGCATTGTGATTGGAGCTTCCGTCATGTCATCAAAAGCCACCGAGTTAAACATCCAGTGCAGAAACTGCAGCCATTCCCAAGTGCTTCCCATCCTCGGCGGCTTCACGGGGGTCACACTACCTAGGCAATGCGGGCGGAAACGTCTTCCCAAGGATCCTACGCCGACTTGTCCACTGGATCCCTACTTTGTCCTGCATGAGAAGTGTCGCTTTGTTGATCAGCAGGTTATTAAGCTTCAGGAGGCCCCCGATCAGGTTCCTGTGGGAGAGTTACCTCGCCATGTGCTCATCACCGCTGATAGATATCTGACAAACCGAGTGGTCCCTGGCTCTCGGTGTACTGTGATGGGTATCTTCTCCATTTATCAGAATAAGGCGTCTAAAAACTCGTCAACGGGAGGCGCAGTGGCTATTCGAACACCATACCTCAGAGCCGTGGGAATCCAAACGGACATTGACCAAGCCGCCAAGGGCAACGCTACATTTTCAGAAGAAGAGGAACAAGAGTTCCTAGAGTTGAGCAGACGGCCAGACCTGTATAACATCATGGCAGATTGCATTGCACCATCCATCTATGGCAATCGAGATATCAAAAAGGCCATTCTCTGCCTGCTTCTCGGTGGATCAAAGAAGATTTTGCCCGACGGAATGAGGCTAAGAGGCGACATCAATGTGCTGCTTCTTGGTGACCCCGGTACCGCAAAGTCGCAACTCCTAAAGTTTGTTGAGAAGGCAGCTCCGATTTCCATCTACACATCCGGAAAAGGTTCATCAGCGGCCGGTCTGACGGCCTCTGTTCAACGTGATCAGTCAACAAGAGAATTCTATCTGGAAGGCGGTGCCATGGTGCTCGCTGATGGCGGTGTTGTGTGCATTGATGAGTTTGACAAGATGCGAGACGAGGACAGAGTGGCCATTCACGAAGCTATGGAACAGCAAACGATATCCATTGCCAAGGCCGGCATTACCACGATTCTCAACGCCAGGACGTCTGTTCTTGCGGCTGCCAACCCCATTTTCGGACGGTACGACGACATGAAGACGCCCGGAGAGAACATTGACTTCCAAACTACCATTCTGTCTCGTTTTGACATGATCTTCATTGTCAAAGACGACCACAGCCGAGAGAAGGACGAGAGGATGGCCAAGCACGTCATGGGCATTCACATGGATGGCCGCGGTGCCGAGGATGTAGCCGAGTCCGAAATTCCCGTGCAGAAGATGCGACGATACATTACTTACTGCAAAACGCATGTCCTCATCTTTTTCTCCTCGTGAATTTATATATCCACCTTGACTAACATGTTTACTTTAGACGATGCGCTCCTCGACTCAGCCCCGAGGCCGCCGAGAAGCTGTCTTCTCACTTTGTCTCCATCCGACGGCAAGTCCACGCCGCCGAGATTGAAGCCAACACACGATCCTCCATCCCCATCACCGTCCGTCAGCTCGAAGCCATTGTCCGAATCACAGAATCGCTCGCCAAACTCACCCTCTCGCCAATTGCCACTGAAGCACATGTCGATGAGGCCATCCGACTCTTCCTTTGCTCTACCATGGACGCAGTCAACCAGGGCAGCAACCAAGGCAGCCGCGAAATGAATGACGAAGTGAGCCGCCTTGAGGCCGAGCTGAAGCGACGACTGCCCATCGGATGGAGCACCAGTCTAGCCACGCTGCGGAGAGAAATGGTGGAAGGCAAGGGCTACAGCGAACAGGCCTTGAATCGGTCGCTCATGCTGCTGCAACGGAGGGATACAATCATGTTTAGAAGCCAGGGAGCGCAGGTTTATCGCAACGGAGCTTAATCGAGGAGGACTACGGAACTCGGGTTGAGATGCGTCATAATGTTGCCACATATGAGACAGCGCGGCTTAGAAACAAATCGCCGTGACTTATTATAAAAGAAATAAAATAATTGAAACGCAGCGCAGTTATGAATATTTTCCCATTCGGCATGACTCCTAGATGTGCTTAGTATCATGTGAACTCTGTTGTTTGACGGTGAGTTACTTAGCGCGCATCCTCCTTTGACTCATCGGCTCAACCCCCCCCTAATGAAGAAACCATCCAACCTCAATGAAACCACGACCACGTCCCCAATCTGCCTATATATAAACCCCCTTCACCCCCCTTCATTCTCTCTTCAAAACTCCATCCCCTACACATACATCAATGTGATCCCCGTCACATAAAAACCCCCAGCAGGCAAAATGGCCCCCAATAGAGTCCTCTCCTCTCCCTCTCCCCCCAGCAACGAGCCCGGCACAATCCTCCTCGAGACCTCCAACCTCCTCATCCGCCGCTGGCATCCCTCCGACGCCCCCGCGCTCGCCGCCGCCGCCAACCACCCCTCCATCACGCCCAACCTGCGAGACCGCTTCCCCATGCCCTACCGCCTCGCCGACGCGGAGAGCTACCTCGCCAACTTTGTCTTCTCCGACGAGGGCTACCCGCACGCCATGGCCATCTTCGTCAAGCCAAACGCCGGCCACAACGACTCTTCTGAACCGCTCTTTATTGGTGGCGCGGGCCTCGAGAGCAAGGGCGACGTGTATTACCGCACGTGGGAGCTCGGGTACTGGTTCACGCCGTCGGCGTGGGGGAAGGGCTACGCGACGGAGTTTGTGAGGGCGGTTGTGCCGTGGGCGTTTAAGACGTGGCCGAGATTGAACAGGATTGAGGCCATGGCGTATGCGAGGAACGAGGCGAGCAAGAGTGTTTTGAGGAAATGCGGATTCACGCTGGAGGGTGTGAGGAGGGGGGCTTTGGAGAAGGACGGGGAGGTGCTGGATGAGTGTATGATGGGGATTCTGAGGAGTGATGTTGAAGAATGAGACTCTGCTACTTGGAGAGAAATGTGAGGTGTGATTGGGATTTTATATGGGGGGTTAATGATTGGAGATCTGTTGGTGTTGAGAGGAAAAGTTGGATGTATCATAGAATGTGCGTGTAAAGCCAAGAAAAGAATCATTTTGTTGCTGTAACCGGGTCAGTTGTCATTAGAGTGCCGCTCCTTTATACCAGATAAAATTGTTCATTTTCAACAAGGCATATACATCAGTTCAAGGTGAATGGCACGGGATCATTATCTCGATTGCTCCATAAAAGTCTATAGAAGTGCTAGAGATCTGGTAAAAAGACTACCCGGTGTTCCAATACAACAAAGTATTAGAAGAAAAAAAGGACGGTACCTTAGTAGGTACACGGAAAGAGGTGAAAAAACAAAGTCATACAAGAAAAGAGTAGACGCTTTCTCGTTTGCGGGTGAACGCCGTTTGATGCTCATTAAATTCCAGTGGCCGGCTTCTGCGGCAACGAGGCAGGATTGCCGTACGTGGGTAAGTGACTACTACTAAACATTTGATTCGGTCCCTGGGGGACGGTTGCTCGCCCCAGAGCATGCGCCTGCTGGTTCTGGGGTATATGCTGGGGAGGTGGTATATGTTGCAGGCTTTGCATGGTCGGCATGTGCTGAACGTGGGGCGGCGCGACTAGAGGGGGCGGAGTGTGGTATGCGGCAATCGAGTTGTTCGAACCCTGCCGGGCCATGTTGTATCCGCCGGCATAGGGGTGAGGGGGCATGACCGATGGATATCCGCCGTAGGCCAGATGAGGAGTCCCAATCTGCGGGCTGCCGTGGTGAGAGCCCGGGGCCGTAAAGGGCGGGTGGAGCGGCTGCATCGGCGGTGGCATGCCGTTCGATCCCGGCACAAAAGATTGAGTCTTGGGGTTGAAAGCGTGGTTCCTATTGTAGCTTCCTGGGATTGGATGCTGACTCTTGGGGTCGTGAGGGTTGGAATTCGCAGGTAGCTGCCCGAATGCATACGGAATACCGTTCTGTGAGTGAGGGCCACTGGGAGTAGGGCCTCTGGGAGGATAGAGAGCGGGACTGTAACCGGGTTGCCAGTTCGGCGGCGGAGGAGCCCCAGGCAGAATCGGCGAGCCGTAAGCTGTCATTGGGCTTCCATTCGGGGGGTATCGTTGCTGTACGGGCTGCGGCGCATATTGCTGGTATCAGATATCAGTTTCAGAACCGTCAGTAGACATTGACAGGAATTACACATACCTGAGGTGGGGTTGGATAAGGCGGACCTGCATTCGACACCATGCCTTGCACGGCGGGATACCCAGGTTGCTGGCCATACATGGGTGCCACCTGAGCAGGGTACGATGGAACAGGTTGCGGAGTAAACTGCCCGTTCGCGGGGGGGACGAACTGGCTAGGTGGCTGTGACACCCATGTTTGCTGTTGGGGTCCCCAATAAGGCGTGTACTGGCGTCTAGAGTCAAAGCCATCGGTATCATCACGCCGCTGTTTAGGTGGCTTTCCCTTTTTACTGGTAGTTGATCTGTTGTTGGCAGAAACTGAGCTTGTCCGGGATATGCCGTATTCGCCTTCAATCTCTGGTAGGAAGAATTAGCAGCCAAACTTCGGTGCAGTCGAGCGTGCAAGTCGCTTACCAGATGTTGTATCTTCCGAGCTTCCAAAAATCCGCTGTCTAGCCAGCTTGTACATCTCTTCTCGTTCTTCTCGGGACAACCTATAAAAAAGTTAATGATCTGCCTATTTCTTCTTCTCGTTTCCCCCCCTGACGCTCGCAACATACTTTTGACTGGCCAGCGGCAGTTTGTCCTTGGAATCGCTTCCATTCTCAGAAGTAGTCTTGGACGCCCCAGCACTGGCGCCACCCCCCTCTTCATCTTGTCCGCGGCGCATAATCTTCCTTGGTAGGACTGCTGGCGGAGGGGTGCTGCTAGTTGAAACAGTTGTTTGAGGTATCATTGTCGCTAGGGAGGGTGGCACTCGACAGAAGGGGGTCCTGAAGATACGAACAGAGCCAATGTGGTGCTCATAAGAATGCGTCATGTGGTAGTAGTCAGCCAGTTTATGGGTCAACATTCTACAAAACGAGTTCGATGGAGGAAGGTCCATGTATGGCTCCCTACGCTGTATGTTAGCTGAAGTTGTCATGATTAGAAAAGGGCTGACTTGCTTGGAATCTTGGACAAAGTTGATGACATCTTTCTCCAATCTTAGGAGGAAAAGTCGGTCTCTCGGAGCCGCCAAAGCCTCGAGTAGTTTATCGTCGGGGGCTTGTCTGTAAATAACATTTAAAGCATCTGACGAGCCACTTGCACTTCGTAATGGGTTCTGTGCTGGCTGCTCAGACGATGTGCTCTGAGGTGTAAGGATGCCATGTCCGTGAGCTCCGGCCACTGGTTGCGCCAATCGCCGGTCTGGCATATCACCGAGCTGAATACCTCTCGCTCTAGCGGCAAAGTCTGAACTCATGCGAGAGCCGGCAATCAGAGATCCCCGGATCGAGAAAGAATCGTCATCCTCGGCAGCAGCCTTGACACTGGCGCTGTCATCTGGACGGAGAGACTCTTTCTCGTCGAGGGCAAACGTAGTGCCAGAAGTTATGCTTTTCCCATCTAGACTGGGTGGCTTGGTACCCAGTTCCGAGCTGGAATCAGCCTTTTGAGAGTCGTCTGAGCCGCTAGCCCGGCTGAAGACAGCCTGCGATCGTGCGGCAGCAGATGAGTTGCTACCATCAACCACCAGACTCGGAACGTTTGATCCAAGTCTGAGGTCGCCTAAAGACTCCACAACTTTCTCCATGGCCCCAGGAATGTCCGTCGGTATTGGGTTCACCGACTGGGGTGATGGGATGGCTGGGGGCGGAGACTCTGTGGACTCGCCAGTAGGCGATACTATATCGGCAGCTGAGTGATCCTTTGGCTGCATCGTCGATCGGCTTGTGGATGAAGCTGAGGGGGTTTCTGTCGCTACAGACGCAGCTCTCTGCGTGTATGAAGGTTATTGGTCAGTCGTCAGGACTTCCCAATGAAAGACGGCGTCTAAGAAGGGGACTGCGCAGAACACCTACATTTGCAAAGGAGCGTTTGGGTAGACCAGAGGAGATTGTCGCCATGACAGTAGGTACTCACAGCCTTGGGATCGCTTACTCGAAGCCAATGGCTGGTGTATAACAAGGCGGAATACAAGGCAGAGAAGGAACGTTTTTTTCTTTTCGTTTTTTTTCGACGGTTGGCGTCGCAAATCCAAAAGGCGCCCGACGACTGATGCCGAAATCGATCGAAAGTGGGCGGGAAAGACCGTAGACAAGACAAGATCAAGAAGCAGAATCAATGGGAACGAGCCAGAAGATCAAGAACGGAGTGCAGGTGCTCATTGTTGTAGTAGGAAGTACATTGTCGTAAGTTGGTCAATGTCTTGGCGAACGGCGAGGCGAGGCGAGACGAGACGAAGAACGAATCAAGATTTTCTCAGCGTTGGTCGAGGGCCCGGGGAGGCGTTCTGGCAGGTCGGATTCACCTCGCAGCCTGGAGTAGCAGTCAGTCAATCAGCCTGCTGCGCGCGAGACGGAAAATGGGCCACTGGCGGTGCAGGCCAGGGCGATGACAGGACTTTCTTGTGGAGGGGTGTCCCAAAACGAGGTTATCCCTGAGAGGGGTGGACATTGCGGGTTTGCAGCGGAACGGAACGTCGACTTACAGCGATGGATTTCGGGTGGCTCCCCCAGCGCCTATAGGACAGCCTTGAACGGGAAAACAAGCAGATCGGAGCGCCCAAGTCGCAGTTCAGGCCGATGTCATCGCGGTGAAGGCGAGGAGAATCTGCAGTTACAAATCTCGAGAGGGAGCTCAGATTGTCTTAGCGCCGGTAAAGCGCCAGAAGATACAGAGTGTGTGCTGATTACGTAAGGAGGGCGTCGCTCTAACTTTTTTACAGAGTACGGAGTACATCAGTACAACCACCACGTTACTTTGGATTTGGGGTTTTTGAGGAATACCTTTTTCTCTCTGTCTCTCAAGATTAGGAATTACCTAGGAATAAGACAAAGCATAAAATGACGCAAATCCCCCTATCATGTGTACATAGGGTTATATTTTTGTAACTTGTACACATCCACGCAATACCTACAACATTGGCCCATCTGGTCACGTGAGGTGTTGCGGTCTGAGGCTGTCCTCCCATTGAGCCTTAGCAGGTACATGTACTCCATACCTTGGCTGTAGGCTCGCGTGCGCGCTGAACAGACCAACAACCCACTGAAGACTCCGTACGACTACACTAGACCCCCAATTCGCCTGGCATCTCTAAGACAGTATCCAACTTCAACTCAGACATGCTGGGGTTGTGTTTGAGCCCTTCTCATTCAACTTGAAACGCTCTTCTTCGCGTCACCAAACACGGCCATCCGCCTCTTCACAATCCTTCGCGACTTTCAATTCGCTATATTTTATCAACCATGTTCGGGTCCAGGGGCCGTGGAGGGCCCAGCCGGTCGACGCCGGCCAATGTCCAGTGCCAAAAATGCTTGAAACGAGATATGTACCAGCAACCTATTGTTTGATGAGGCTATGCGAACTAACATGCTTAGCACGGCATTATTCATATGAGTGCAAGTCATCCACGCAGGAACGGCCATATGTCTCTCGGCCCTCACGCTCACAGCAGCTTCGCAATCCTAAACTCGTCCCAAAGCTAACAAGTGATACCCCAAACCCCTTGGAGAATAAGTGAGCAGCATGCAAAACCGCTAGGACGGATCAAACAGCTAACACTATCGCAGGAAGGGCGTTGCGGATGAAGAGCTTGCCAAGATAGAGGCTGAGCGGGAACGGAAGCGAGAGCTTGAGGAGCGCGAGGATGAGCTGCTAGATGCGGGCTCCAGGCGCCGAAGATCAGTATCTTCGCATTCGGTATCAACCATCTCTACAGATGCCTCGAGAGACTCTCGCTCTCCACCGCCTAGGCGAAGAACTAGGTCTCCCACTCCTGACCGACGGGGACACAGCCCAGAGTTGGCAAGTGAGCGCAGCTACAGCCGAAGCCCGTCACCTCCACGACGAGAGCGGCGTTCGGCATCACGCGATAGCCCATCTCCTTCGCGTGAGAATCTTCCGCGAGGAGATAGAGGTCGCCGGGGACAGCCCTCTTATGGCCGGGAAGACGACGTTTCGCCCCCTCGGCAGCGCCAGCGTGACCAGGAGCCCGGGCGACGTCACGGCAGGCGGCGAAGCTGGTCAGGTTCACGATCGAGATCACCACAGCAAGTTGATCGGCCATATCGAAGGCGAGACGAAGACGGCCCCCAGCGTGGCGGTCGTCGCGGCGGGCGTGGTGGAGGGCAAGGAAGAGCACCGCCCAGAGAGGCGCCCCGAGAGCGAAGTCTCAGCCCCTTTAGCAAACGATTAGCACTGACTCAGTCTATGAATGCGGGTGGAAGATGATTGGGTATCTTAATTTGGCCAGATGTAAATATTAGCCGTAATGTCCAAATAAAAACAAAAAACTCCGACCCATGCGATAGTAGTAGCAAACATAACAGTAATTACATACAGTACCTCCAAATCCCAACCTCCTTCACAGACCCAATGCTTCCTCTTCCTCGCGTTCTCTTTGTTCCTCTTCTTGCTCCTCTTGTTCTCGAACCCTGAGTCCTTCCACAAGAGCGATGCCGTCAACGCCAGCAGCGTCTCCATCTAGGTTGCCGTTGCCTGCGTCTGCCGTCTTCTGAGCCGCCTTCTGAGCACCCAAAACCCGTTCTCGAACCAGCTTGGCGATTGCGTTATCCGTCCGCACATTCAACAGCTCCATCTTTTTGCCCAGATTCCGTTTCAGATCCCAATTTGGCTTCTTCGGCTGCAGTTTGAACAGGTCCAGGCCCTTGTCGTCTCGCGCCTCTTCCGCAGCTCGCTCCCTGACCTCGGCTTCGACCTCTGCAGCCTGCTCCTCCAACGTAGGTTTTTCTTGGGCGAGCGTCGGCGGCGCGTCGAATCCGAGCTTGGGGCCTCTTGTCTCGGGGTCATAGTTGCGGCCGGAAAGGTGCAGCTTCGCAACGTCAGGCGCTTCGGGTGGTGATGCCTCTCTGTCGCCTTCTGGAGTGGCGACTTCGTCAATGGGCTGTTTTCGTTTGAGATTTTTGAGCTTTGCCAGACGCGCTTTTCGCTCGTCGGAAGCGGCGCTGAGACTGTTGTGGGAATTCATCTCGCAGCGCTCTGGTGGTAACGCGCAGTGTGTCGATTTCAATGGATGTCAATTCAGCGACTTTCGCGATGTGGATGGAAAAGCGAATTCAAGCTTGGTGGGGCTGCGGTACCTAAAACACAGTGGAGGGACTCCGGTAAGCCGCTTGCACTCCGAGGGTTTTTAGCGGCGAGGGCATTTTCCATCAAACCGCTGCTAAAATAATTCTTTGCGACAGCCTCAATCTTAACCTCAACCTCAACCTCAACCAACCACTGCTGAGACCGTCAACCGGCAAGATTGAGACTCGCAGCAGTGCACCATGCAGACTGCTGGCCGTGTGTCGGCCACTGTTCCATTGCAATGCCAGCGGCACTCATGACCCGCGCCGGCTTCCTAAAATGCAGGTGCTCGACGGTATATGCGGCCGGTCTTCTTCGGCCGAGGATTCACTTCGCCGCCCGACCTTTGTTACGATCTCTCAGCTCTGTAGCGCATAACACATCGCAGAAATATGTCCCGTCTTATGAAAATGGCGTTTCAACTCGAAAAGCGGAATATCTTACCTCGCCCCTGAGTCTGCGAGAGTCCATTGACCCCATGGTGGCCGCTGATGGAGCAAACAGCCATGGCAATTTGGACGACTCTCGTTCGAGACATCATGTCGCCAGATCAGATGGAAACAACTTACACAAAAAGCAGCTGCCCTCGAGTCATCATAATCATCCCAGAAGAAAGTTGAAAGCAAAGTCACATTCTCCGAAACGACCTTCCTTTGTCAGAAAGAGGCGCTATACGATCACATACAACAGGCTGTACCGCTCTCCTGCGCAAGGAGCACAACCTACCAACCGATTCTCAGCCGTGGACAAGGCAGCTTCGAAACCAGATGAGCCATCACAAGAAGCTTCTCGAGAATTAAAGAACCTGCGAGAGATGCACTCGCAATGGGGCTACGTTCGGCATCGACATCCTGATTCTCAACGGCAATCTGCCCGTAAAGACTTTACATTTTGGAAGACCAAATTCTTCCAAGTTTCCAGACCAGATAAGCCGGAAGACCCAAAGCTACCATACCCATGGCGCGATAATGCGAAGTGGCTCTTTGAGCTCAATGGTGTTCGTAACATGCATCAGGCTTGGAAAGCCCTCGAGATTGAAGACTGCCGCAAACAGTGGCCTTTGATTATGCTTTCGACGCTGGATCGTTGCCCCGACAAGGCACACATGGTGTTGGAAGCTACCTTGGATCCTTTGCCACCAGGGTATGCCATTAACGACGTGCTCCTCTTTGTTGCACAGCGTCTGCGCCTAAGCAGCATCAGAAACGTGCGTGAGCGGACCCTTAGAGCGGAAGAAGTGCTGGAATTGGTGGCGAAAATTCTAGAGGACGCGCCTACGGGACATGTGCCCCTTGGGCAACGGACAGCCGGTCTCCTTGCACGCGAACTACCAAGTGAACAAGCAAACGAACTGTATAGCTTGCTGCAGGGGGCCAACATTAAGCTGCACCCAAACACGTTGCTACAGTTTGCGGGCAAATTGGCCAGCGACATGGCACATAAAGACACGGCGTTTGCGATTCTCAAGGGACTCGCCGACAGCGGGATAGATCTCAATGCGCCCAGTCCGTCCAGCGCGATTACTACGCTGCTACATTGCCGAATAGCCCACGGTGGTTCGTCAGAGAGCAACTCATCCTTCTCGGCCAAGGATACTCTGGAGTATTTCATGGACAGGGGTTTCGTACCCAATGTCATCAATGCAACTGCCTTCCTCGACTCTTTATGCCAACAGGGAGAAGTTGAAGAGGCTATACGGCTGGCATTATTGTTTTCCGAGTCTGGCGTCCAGCTAGATACCAAAGCCTGGTCCACCATTTTCAGGGGTGCCAAGGGGAGCCTCAGAGTAGAGAACGTGGCGAAGAGTTTTGATGTTGCGAAAGCGGCCAATGCGCCCTACGTGGATGTGCTTAACAATGCCCTCCATGCCGTGTTTTACTTTGCAGAGATGGAATCCCGCGTGAAGAGATGCGCTGTACCTTGGGTCTATCCCTTGTTTGGTCCGATGCTGCGAGCATATGCAAAAAAGTTTGAGTTGGAGCCACTACAGTGGTGGCTGCCCGACTCCTTACCCCTGATGCTAACACAGACGACGGGCAACGACGGGGAGAAGTTTGACAGCAATGACCCGCGCAGGTGGGACTTTCTGGAAACCATCGTTCCTCTCGCCGAGAAGTCCTTTTCCGCGCAAAGTAATCGGCCGAAGCTACAGCCTAATACAACGACGATAGCCATCATGCTAAGAGCCTATGTCAAGACACTGCAGAACCCATATGACCTTATGGCTTTTTATGCATTCTTCAAGGCTCGCCTTGAAGAGCAAGGCGGAAAAGACGGCTTCGCCACTCAGCTGATCGATGACCAGGGCAGCCTTATCCACGATACTATCATCATGGCCATGACGGAAAGACGAGGGCTATCACGGCCTGCGCTACAGATTTTTGGAGACATGCTGAAAGACCACTTGCAAAGAAATGCGACAGAGGGCACGGAGAGAAGCGCCGCAGCTCCAGTCCATCCACCCCCGGGCCTGTGTACATTCAGTATCCTTGTGCGCGGCCTATTCAACAGTGGCGATCGGATTTTGGCTGAGCAAGTGATTCATGTTATGAAGGAGCAAGGTGTTGAGCCAAACCTTGTGACGTGGAACACTCTTACGAAGGGGTATGCGGCAATGCAGAACATCAACAAGACAGTGTCTACCTTGCAGGATATGGAGGCAGCGGGCTTCAAGCCTGATCTATTTACTTTCAAGGCGTTTGGGAAGCTGAGGAACCAGGGGCGGGCACTAGAGATGATGGAAGGCATCATCGACGTGAATAGACAAAAGATTGCGGGCGAGGATCTGTATGAATAATTCGGGCGTGGATTTGTACACTTTGGCATATTATCTCGGCGCTACTTGGGATTCTTTTCTTCCTTTACTATTATAACGGCGAAATGATATGATACCATGGAGTAGGGAGGGGAGCTTTATAGCACATCTCTGGCATTGGCGGCTATGAACAGATAGAATAGAGCACTCTCATCCATTGAATAGAAAACAAGATTTGAGAGGGGATTTAATGTCAATCTAGTCTTCCAAGTAGAATTACTTCTTTTTTTCTTCTTCTTGTGGGTGCGATGATTAGGTTGTGGCCACATTTAGGGGTTAAAGAGCAAAGACCAGCCAAAGTCCATCGTTCAGATTTTCGGACTTAGGACTTACTTCGACTCATTATATCCTCCCTCTCACTCTGATGGCCGAGTCGCCAAGTCTTGATACTGAAAGATTCTTGTCTTCAAGTGAGCTAAATCGCTCTTCATTATTATTCTCAATAATTCTCAATTCATAAATGCCGCCTACAACATTTTAGCATCTTTGAGCCCATCGCCAACACCATCGCCTGCACCGTAGCCGAGGCATCATCATCAACCTCATGCAACGGGCATCTCATACAACTCACCCAGTTCAACAACAAACCTCACAATCTCACAGCCCCTGATGCCCGACCCCAGCCTCTCGCAATTCACCTCCGTCTTCCGTGCCTCGGACGCCCACCGCGTCAAGCGCTGCCGCCAAACCGTCTCCTGCACGGCCTGCCAGCGCCGCAAGTCCCGATGCGACCGCCAGCACCCGTGCGGCGCCTGCGAGAAGCGCGGCAGCAGCGAGGCCTGCTCGTACGGCTCGGCAGCGTCGTCATCGTCGGTATATGATAAAGTCGCAGGGAGCAGCAGCAGCAGGCGGGATGTTCAGATGAAGCTCAGCCAGCTGGAGCAGATGGTGAGGGGGCTGGCGGAGAAGAAGGCGGATGGCGAGAGGCGGAGAGAGGGCAGCGACAGGGATGAACAGCCGGAGACGAGCTACCACGGGGCGACGTCGTGGACGGCGTTGGTCGAGAGTATTCGCGATATCCAGGACATTCTGGTGGCCGATCAGGACGCCGGGGAGCCGGAGGAGGCGGCCGAGCCGGAGGTTCTGCTGGGAGACGTGCCGCCCATCACGATCAAGGAGGTCACGGAGAGCTTGCCATCGCGGCACGACGCCGACAAGCTCATCATGACCTACTTCAAGGCCAGGTTCACGGCCGTCTGCATCGTCCACACGCATCAGTTCAAGCGCCGCTACGACGCCTTCTGGGCGAATCCCTCGTCGGCCAGCTTCCTCTGGATCAGCATCATGTTCTCCATCCTCAGCATCGGCACCATGATTGCCAACACCAAAAACCCAACAGACACCTCGTCTCCGTCGTCGTCGTCGGCGGCGGCGGCGCCAAACTCGCGCTTCTACATGGTCAAGGCCGCGCAGTGCCTCGTCGCCGGCCAGTACCTCAAGGGCAAGCGCTTCTCCGTCGAGGCCCTCCTGATGCACGCCCACTCGCGCAACGTCCAGAAGATGGACTCGGACTCCTCGCTGTGGTCGCTCTACGGCATGGCCGCGCGCCTGGCGCAGAAGCAGGGCTACCACCGCGACGCGGCCAAGATGCCCGGCGGCAGAGCCATGACGCCGTTCGACGCCGAGATGCGCCGCAGGTGCTGGTTCCTGATCCAATCGTCGGACCTGCTCTTCTCCTTTCAAAACGGCATGCCGCCCATCATCACGCAGGAAAGCTGCGACGTCGGCTACCCTACCAACCTCACCGATGACGACTTCGACGAGAATTGCGTCTCCTTGCCCGAGCCCCGTCCTCCCACAGACCCTCTCCCCATCCTCGCCCACATCACAAAGTCCAAGCTCTGCTTCGTCATGCGTCGCGTTGTGCGCCATGTCCTTGCCGTGGCTCCGGCCCTTTACGGCGAGACGATTGCTCTCGACCGGGAGTTGCGAGAGTGGCACGAATCTGTGCCGGCGTGCCTGCGAATCCGCACCATTCGCAACACGGCCTTTACCGATGCCAACTATACCATAATGCACCGGCTCATGCTCGAGCTCATGTACCTCAAGAGCCTGTGTATACTACATCGGCCTTACCTCACAACGCACAAGCACGATGCCGAGTACAATGCCTCGAGGCGGGTCTGCAGGGAGTCTGCGCTCATGATACTGGAGATACAGGCGGAGCTTGACATGGAGACTGCTTCAGGAGGGAGGATGTACGAGGATAGGTTCATGGTTTCCAATCTGACGCTTCATCATTTCCTGCTCGCGGCAATGATCATCTGCCTAGATCTCAGCGAGTCCACCGACATAAAGTAAGTGAAATCTCAGCCCCCTAAAGTGCCAACGTAAACACACACACGCACACACACGCACACACTGACACCTTCTCCAGCTCGGAAGAAAGGCTCAAACGCATAACCACCCTCCGCACCGCCTATTCCATCTGGTCCGCCCGCAGCACCACCTCCGCCGACGCCCTCCACGCCTCCAGAGTCCTCCACGCCATCCTCATTCGCATCGACTCCCCCAGCGCCACCACCTCCTCCACAAATTCCGGGCCCATGATGAGCACACCCAGCTCTTCTCTTCTACAAAATCACGACGGTGTTCCTACAATGTCAGACGACTCAATGCATCAAATCATGTCTGGCACGTACGCAGCGGACGACGCGCTGTTTGGTAACGACATGGGCCTTGCTATGCCTGGATTCGAGGACATGTTTTCCAATATTGACACGTTTGATTGGGTATGTCAAACCCCTTACCTCCCCCTTTTTTTCGTTTAGCTTTCCCCCTCCTGGGTTTTGTATTGACGGCCAGCCTTTAGAGCTCCCTCGACCAATACATCCAATCGTCCGATTCCAGACAATGGAAACAGTTCTTTTCCGATACGAGCTTATAGACTTTCTTTCCCCTTTTCCCTCCTACCTCATCATATCCTTCAATTGAGGGTCGTGTCAAAGAAGACAATTAAGAAAAAGCACCTCGTAAGTGAAAGAGAGGACAAGACGCCGAGAGCTATAAATCTACGTCTATTTAGATTGTCACTGACCAGCTACGGTATTAATGATAGTCTCGATACCCATGTTACGACATAGTCAAGACAAACGCAGACTCGGCGTATCATGTGGATACTCTCTAAAACGAATATTCACGCAACTGTCGCTCTCAGCTAGCAAAAAAAAAGAAACAAGCTTTGCCATTCATTGCATTTGATAAGAGGAATGTATATCTGATTGGTCTCATTCTAATCCAGACGCTGTGCTCAATGAAAACAAAAGAAAACAAACACAAATCATCATAGGCAAGCTTCACACAAAACAACTAGCAAAAAAAAGAAGACGAAAAGAAAAAGAAACGTCTCACAGCCTGTCCAAACGGACCACCAGTCACATTATTCATGCTCCAAAGTACAAACTTATTCGTGCCCCTCGTAGCTCGAGGACAAACACAACAAAAAGAAAAAGAAAAAAGAAAAGGCCATCGCTAAACAAAATTCCGACACACTCTTCCCATCGCATCCCTCAGCCGAGGAGCCCGTCTGTTCAAATCCGCCAGAGCCAAGCCCAGCCCAGCTATCCCGTCCCGAATGAGTTTGCCTCTCCCAAATTCCCATTTCCGCCCACGTGTCCCGCGAGGTACCACGATCGTTTCATTAAACGTCAACGCCGACTCAAACTTTTTGCTTTCTTATACCTGTAAAACGACGAGAGAGAAAATAAAGAGTATAGCAATGAAAATAAAGGAGCTGAAAAGGGAAAACAATAAAACATCTCGATTACACACACAAGTTTTCATTATGCGCGCACGCTTGGGTATCACAACGTTAGATGCAAAAGCATGCGCCTCAAGGAAAGCAGAAAACTGAGATTAAGAGGCAATGCCGCGAAGGACGCGTGCAGGATTCCCGGCCACAATAGTGAAGGGAGGTACATCCTGCAGAACAGCATGTCGTTAGCGATGACATTGTCCGTTTTACACCAGGGGGCGGAGCAGCATAAACATACCTTGGTGACAATAGATCCAGCTCCTACGGTGCTTCCCTTGCCAATGGTCCGGCCAGGCAAGATTATGGCACCGCCACCAATCCAGCAATCTTGCTCTATGACAATGGGTCTGCCAAACTGCGGACCCTGTCCTCCTTGGCGTTTCTTAGGGTCAATGGGAAGGGAGGCAGTGAAGATGCTAACGTTGGGCCCGAGTACGCAGTTGTCCCCGATCCTGACCTCGCAGACATCGTTGATGGTGCAGTTTCGCCCAATGACGACGTCGTTGCCAATGGAAATGTTGTAGCCATAATCGCACACAAAGGGGGTTTCAACAGCAACATGGCGACCGACCCGGCCAACATTGGTAACCGGAGACGCCTCGGTGGGAGACACACGGACAGGATCTCGAGGTTGTAGAATCTCGAGGAAGAGGCGGGCTCGTTCCTCGGGAGATACACCGTTGGTCGGAGGTGTCGTGAGGTTGTTGAATCTCCAGCAGGCAGCAGCGCATCGCTCTCGCTCGAGGCAGAGCTCCTTATCGAACGGGTAAAAGTGCCTTCCTGAAAGCATCTCCTCCTTTTGGGTCCGTCGAAGAGGAAATTGTGAGTGCGAGAGTGCTAGCTGCGCAGCCATCTGTGCATTTGAGGTTGCAGGTGGCTGGGGTCGAGGCGTCGGGCTGTTTGTCCTCGTGGGATGCAGGATGTTGATTTGCGGCAACTGGTTGCCTGGATGGGGGGTTTCAGGCTCGGTTCGGCTCAGGTCGTGCAGCGGAGGCACCCGCTGATACTCCTTTGCCATCCTCTCCCCAAACGGCGGCGGTTGCGTGTTTGCACTTACGGGCGTGGGGAAGACGTTGGCGGGAGTGTAGGGCAGAGCAGAAAGCTTGTTGTCGGGACTCGTCACGGACGCACTTGGTATGGTCGATGCCGTTGGACGGTCGTCGTCCGAGATGATGACTGGCCGGCTCTGTGGAGGGTCTATCCGGAGAGGCTGGCCGCGGTAATGGGATACGGACTCTCGTTTCACAGGCTGGGGTCCGTAGGGGGCGGGCACTGGTCCCGGCCCGGGCACCGAGGCTGGCTGCGGAGGCGGCTGCGATTGGGGTTGCGGGTGAGGCTGCGGGTGAGGCTGCGGCATGCCATACGCACCAGGGGGCACGTAGCTGGGGTCTTTGGATTCGAGTGGCACCGCCGCGGCCTTGCTGTCTGGCTTTTGCCAGCCTGGCCCCCTCTGTGGCGGATAGCCAGCACATACGAAGGCACCACGAATGCAGTTACTGCCTGTTGGCGTTGTAAGAATAAGGAAGGGGCGGAGGGGGTTAAAAGGCGCCTCTATGGCAGAAACTTACACTCAGGCTTCTGTTCATCACACTTCTTCTTTCTCCTCCGGCAGGTTAGGCACCCAGTTTTTGTGCGGTTACTGAAATTTCGCTTCCGCTTCTTCGGATCATGCTGGAGCATCGAGTCTCCTCTATGGTCGGTATACGAACCACCGTAAAGAGACATCGATCGATCATCGCCATCAGGGCTTGTGCCGCCGTAATCGCTGTGGTCCATCTGTCCGGTAGCTCGCCTCAAAGCTTCCCCAATCTGCTCCTCCGAGTTGCTCTGTGTCGAAATTGCCGAGTTCTGCTGCGTCTCATAGGGATTTCTCTCATCCCGAGATTGATGCGAGTACCACAACTCCTTGTCGCGGTCCCTCTGCTCATCGCCATAGGGTCGATAGTCTCTCTGTGGGGTTCCATAGTGATCGCGGGCGTCGTGTGGTGGAGCCGTTGCGGTTTCTGGGGTGCGCTCTTGTACTGAAGCTTCTCTCCGGATATCGACGGATCCAGAACGCTTACGCTTATGTGATCCTTCGATTTCCGGATAGGTTGCGACATGTATAGTCCTCTCTACACTTTGAGGAGTCCAGGATTCTCTTTGAGACGTCGTTGGTGGTGCTTCGGGGGCTGCCGATACCGATGCGGTTGCTGCTGAACCGGCGAGACGATCTTCTGGTCCAGAGCTTTTATCTCCCGGCGCCGCCGGAGACTCTGTCAGCTTTGATGAAGCGCCATTGAGAGCAGTGAAGGTAGACATGTTGGATGAAAGCGCCAGTAGCAGTATAGCCGTCGACGCCCATACAACACACAAACACAAAAGAAAAGCCGAAGTGTGGAATTTCAACCAATGCAAAGCTGAGAAACCGAGTGTTAGAGAAGGGGTTTCTTTTGGCTCTGAGCACAGTGTGCTTGTCCAATATTAGTGGGTGTGAGGAAAGCTGTTAACTTTTCGCTTCAACAAAGTGAGTTCCAAAGAAAAGACGCCTTTAGAGGATTGAGTCTTGGAAATCACGATTGCTGTGCTACTTAGAGTTCCGAGCTGTGAGCTCTACCAAAAGCTGCGCAGGTGAGCCTGGGGCAAGTAGATCCGGTAGATCCAAGCAGGCACCGCTATGCAGCGAAATTCACACTCCCACCAAGCGAAACAAGAAAAAAAAAGACCAAGGCGCGCGGCAGAGAATCTCAAACCTGCAGAAACCCTCGCCGGAAAAAAAAATAAGCCAAGGCTCGTTGCTGTGGCCGCGGCAAAGTGAGTGCGGAGCTGACTGTGGCCGACGCAGGTGAGAGCGCGAGCGCGCAAACGAGTGAGTGAGCGAGCGAATCAGGGCCGGCTGCAGTTCAATGCGGCTTGATGGACCCTTTGGAAGCCCTTTGGACGCCCTTTGGATGCTCGTCGGGAATTCGATGGTGCAGAGCGACGGCCGAGTTGCGCAAGCCGTTTGACGGGCCCGAGTCCAAAGAGTTTTGCTGCGTGCAGTTGTCGAGGAGCCGGAGTGGGAGGTGAGAGAAGGGTGTCGAGGCGGAAGTGCTGGGGGCCTGGCCGAAGTTTCTAAGTCGCGCTTGGGGGGCTTAGGTAGCTTTTTTTTTTTTTTTTACACGCGCGATTATGCTGCGCCTGCTAGTGAAGGGGGGGTGGCCAGTTGAGCGGCGGACCTGGAGGCGTGTACCTGTACTCCGGGAATGGGGAACTTGACAACGATTTGGCCGTGCAATTCTCGTACCGGATCGTACACCAACGGTTGAAGAGTCGAGCGTGGGATGGCGTCTGTCTGCTTGTAAGAATCTATCGCCAGCGACAGATGGCAGCAAGTCGTCGGGATTCAAGCAGCGCGGCGTACAGACGCTGAGGAATCCGAAATAGCCAACAAGGCGCAGGTAGGCAACCACAGGTCAGGTAATGCACCACAAGCACCGAATGCCCTCCGAGAGGAAGCAGAGGAGAGGACGGGGAAGTGGAGGGGAGAGGAGAGGAGAGGAGAGAGGAGGAGTAGAAAGGCTTGTCGATCAATTCCAGGGACACAGAGGCAACGTGGGCTGAGAGGGGGAAGCTATGGAGATATGGTTGTTGAACTGGTGGTGCTTCGAGGCCAGGCGAGAAACACACAGGATGCACGTTCGCAAAAGAGACCCGGAAATGTACCGAAATGCACCTAGGCCTAGGCAAAGCGGCTCTTTTGACGCCTGTACGAAGGACTGTTCGTACAGGTACACGGAGTGACAGAATGCCAACATGGGCAAGCCAGGCCAGGCACCGTCCAAGTGCGTGCATCCAAGGCACGGGGTTGGTCGCCGACGGGGCATCAAAAGGACGCACATGATGGGGCCTCGCCGTGGATTACTGCCATGGCCTGGGGAACGGCCAGATGGGACGGGCATGCCACCAGTTGTCGAGCAGCCCGTACGAAGCAAGCGTTTTGCGGTCGATCGCTCAACCCAGCCATTGCCTCCAGGTCCAGCGCCACCCCCCTCCTCCCGCGTTCGACGGACAGGCACCGTACGAGCGCTCGCACACAAAGCACACACAGTCCGGCGAATGGAGAAGGCGTCACAGCCAATACTTGGCCCTTGGCAGCGTGGGAGCTAATAGGCGGCGCTTCTCGCTGGACCCAACCGAGTGCGCCAACGCCTCTCCCAGAGCGACAATCGCCCGTTGCATGTAGCAGCGCTGCTAGTCCAAACCCAGCAACCTTGAACCTAGCTCCCTGGTACCTGGCTGCCATCGCATGTGGCAATTCGCCAGAGCGCCAGGGCCTCAGCCCAAAGCCACATCACTGCTGAGCTGCTAAATTGCGTGGTACAGGTGCGGTGCGCCTGTGCTTGGGACAGTGCAGAAGCGTGTGCGTGCATGCGCGCGAAGGCGCAAGTGTGAGTGGGTGCCCTCAGGAGCCCTCCATGGGGGAGGGTGTGATGCGATGGCCAGTCCCAGTGTAAGACAAAGACAAAGCCAGCGAGGCGGATATGCGATCCCAGAGGCGGCAGTTTTCGGTTACGCTCACGGAGGTCCAACAAGGGAGCGGTGTTCCGCGATGGAGGGGGGCGTGCTCCAGATTGTCTCTTGGAAACCATGATACTGTATGAGTGCATTCACACACACACAGACGAACACAAATCACCCAAAGGCGTCCAGCTTGATCGCCGTCTGAATGCTCGTCTGAATGCTCGTACGGATAGCGCTCGCCCGTGGCTCAGCTTGCCCCATCAACAGCGTCATCACGGAGCAGAGGCGTCTTGGGCTTGGGCGCAACATCGAGTCTGAACTGCTCGCACCGAAAGAAAGCTGGCAGCGGGTAGCAAGGGGGTCTAGCCGTGACATGTCCGGTGGTTTGGCCTGGCCTGGCCTCTCTCTCCCCCACTCTGTGCTAAGCTTTGCAGCAAGTTCTGGCGAGATTTGAGCGCCAGTGTCGTTTCGCAACGAGCACGATTCGCCCCGGGGTGGAGATGGGTGTGACCGCAGTAAGCGGTGTTGCCGCGGCTCCGCTCTCTCGGTTACCACAGACTACTGAGGAGTGAGCGCAGCGCGCGGAACCTGGACGGCGCAAGTTCTCTTGTTGAGCCCGTCTTCCAAGCCGCCTGGCCCGTCTTCTAGCGTTCTTTTCGTTCGACTCGAGAGCGCCGGGGAGCGATTGGGATGATGCCGCCGCTATGTGTTCCTGCTTTGCGCAAGTGCTCGTACAGTCAGCCCACGCACCAGGAATGACCGAATGCTTGTACGTACGAGATATGGAATCTGCTGCACCATTGGCGCTCCCGTCGAACCGTGGATGAAGTGCTTTGGACGGGGGTTGTGCTGAGTCTAGGTAGGGCAAAGCATTGGATGGGGGAAATCTGCTGAGCAAGGGCTCGAAATACCTGTATCCTCGACGTTATACCTAGCAGCTACCTTAGGTAATACCAGTAATACTCATCTGCGCTACTATTGCCGCGATCAAGGTTAGTTAGTACCTGGTAAGTACTACCTACTAAAGCAGTGGCATCCGTAATGCTAAAGTTGGCATGGACGCCGTAGTGCCAACAGCGTCAGGAAAGAACGGTCCCGAGCCCGTTCGAACATCGCCGTGGGCTCCTTCCCACCCCAACAGGCCAACAGAGGACGAAGTTTTTTCCACTCTGGTACCTTGCAAACCACCACGCACTCTCTCATACTCACTACACACTACACACTATCAGCCTTTCTGAGCCAACTTGTTTCCATCATCCATCCATCTCCTCTCATCGTTCATCATTCTTCATCCCGCTTCGAAATACTACTATACCAGTAGATCCAGTCTTGCCTCCGGGACCAGGCCGACAAGGGATCGGGTTGGATACGCTCCATAGGTAGGTACGCTCCATACACTTTGCCTCTGCTTCTCATGCATCATCGCCGTTCGTCCCCTGCTCGGGTCCCAGGCCTGTCGCTGCTGCGCCCATCTCAATCCCTTCCCACGGAGCGCTGTTCCACCTTTGCGCCCAACCGATCCGGGTGCCATCCCAAGGGGTGCCACCCTCCCAAAGGCGAGCCGCGGCCGCCATCGTCGCCAAGTCTCCATTCCAACCAGCACGACCCGTTCTCGAGACCCTGATGCGGAAACGCGCGGCGTCCGCCTACGCCTGCATGGCCAATCCACCAGCTCCAGGCGCCACCAATTATCACAGGGCTTTCCCCGTCTATCCCGCCAGTCGCCGGCCACAAATGCGAGCAGCTATCCGCGTGCACGCGGCCTACACCCGATCCAAAGGGCACATATGGCCGTCACCTGTGCTTGCAGCATCCAAGCAGATCGGTCCATGGACGACTATGTCCGAGAAATCGGCGGAATAGAAGGGCGTCTCGTCTCGAGACCATCGTACAACACTCGGGCTCTGGCTCCTTGGTACACGGCACCTGTGGATGATGGTCACACCGGCTCGCCTGTCAGAGCCAGCCTGTTCGGCCTTGCTAGAGCACTCGCACCTGTCGCCGGTGTATACGGAGTACCGGGATCGTGAAATGGCATCTGATCCCAGATCTTGCCTGCTTCTGTCATCGAAGTGGGACAAGAACCCTAACAGACGCCTTATGAGTACGAGTGGACAGGGTTTGCGGGTAAGTTGATAGGCTCATCATCACCAGAACCTGCCTGCACTTGCGTGCTCTCTAATAGCGGTCCGCCACAAACGTCAGCTTGCTTACCAGTTACAGGCACTCCGTACCTGTGCAATTACCACTTCAGGCAAGGCTCACCAAGGAGCAAGACGTGATAACCTGCCTTTGGCTATCTGCGTGTGAAGGCGCGAGATTGATAATTCAACTAATACTGTACAATGCTTGCCGGAATGGCGGCTCGACAAGTCCAATATCCAGCTCGGCCATGCCCAGTTTCGTGGGCAGGGGCCAGAACTGCCTCGACGACGTGCCACAAGGGCGTCGGCTGTTGTCCGACCCTGAGGGCCAATAGGAACTCTGGTACCAGGGAGTGGTCGTCAAGCAACTTGGCTGATTAACGCCGCGTTTAGCACCGTCTCGTATCGCCGCCGCCGCCCGCGGCTGTGTCAGGCCACGTACGCCCGACGGCATTACCTCTTCACCCGCTGGATGTGCACCACTGTTCCACTAGCGCTAGCCTTCGCTTCTGCTTCGGCGCCCTCCAGCGACTCTGGCACGGTTGAGCCCAGCCTGGGATGCTCCCAGCGTCTCATTACAGACGGGGCGCGCTACAGCTGCCTACTGCTATAAGGCTCGAAGAAAATCCCGAGGCATCAAGCCACTGATCAGATCTACGTCGGATTGATAGAGCGCCTCGCGCGAATTCCTCGAGAATCGTGCCCGAGGTTTGTCTTGGCTGTCTTCCATGCCAAGAGCAGACCCGGCTTACACAGTCACCCAAAGTGCTTTATGTTGAAGAGTCGCCCAGAATGGAGCACAGTGCCTGCCGGCCATCAGGCATATATATAGCTCCTCGTCGCATCAATCGATTGATTGCCCACGCTGTTGAACGCTGGCACGGCTAGCCCAAAGGATTGCTTGGCCGTGAAGACTAGTACAGTTTGCGCAGCACGCCACACCAATCCTTTGAGGGTCGACATTGGGCTCGTGGTAACACATGGCTGAACACGGCATGTAATCGAAGTTTGGCCAGACAATTCGTGGCTTGTTTCGGCTTGAAACGCCTGCCTGCGAAGATGCTGAGATATCACACCGCCGGAAGGGCCTGGGCGGGAAAAGGATGCCAAGATAACCGCTGAAGCATACCCACTCGGCGGCTACATGTTAGCTGCACTGTTTGAATTTTGGTGAATTTTGGGCAATTGCGTTGTGGCCGGGCTAGCTACTAATCTGCAATGTTTCCTTCGCAACCTCCTGCTCTAGCGTGCCGAAGGATCAGGGTCGTCACAGAGATATGTTCCGTTCTCGTGGCTAGAGGCCCACTCGCCATCCCAGGTTGACGTTTAGTTTACGAGTACCGATCTCAAGGTCGCCGATGCTGATGCTTAACGCCGGTCACTCTGGCCAGGACGGATTCAACGATTTTGGAAAGCTCCTTTGCCAGCGGTCTCGTTCGAGGAGTCAACTCCCCCACTGTCTCTATTCACCTAGAGGTCCTGAAGTAAGATATGCAGTAAGGGCAACTGAGTCACCAGGTGCCATTGTGTATCCGGTCTGGTCTAGCTAGAGCACGAGTACCCATGATGTATGCAAGTACGGCAAGGTGCCGATCTTGCCAATGCCGGGCAACGAATCTACATCTAACAGACAGCGCAGGCGACACAGCAATCACATCAATGCTGAATCCGTGAACGAAGTGACACAATGCTCCTTTAGAATACAAGGGTGGTGACGGCGTCGTCACACCGTGTAATGTGTAATATGTTACAAACCCCAATCAGATTACTTGGGCATCGAAAAGCCGTGGGCAAACAGGGGAGCAGCCAAGCCGGCAGGCACCTCTTCGCAAAGGACATTGGGATATATCGCCGATGGCATTACCACACCTCTATCTCCCCATGAGCCAGGTAGCACCACCACTGTGACGAAGTAGGTACTTTGTCATCACCACATCACGGCCTGAAAGATCCCGACAGGGTTCTTTCAGCTCCGATCCAACAACTGGCCAAGACGTCAGGCTTACGATTTTACACCCGGATGGGATAAGACGCCTAAGGGAAGGAAGATGTTGCTAGTGTAATACTAGAACTGGCAGAAGCGTTGGTACGAGAGGGACAAGCAAACAAGCAAGCAAGCAAGCGGAGCTGCTGCATACGGTATGGATTCATGCGTGAGTTCAGTTGTCTGTTCTGTTCGTTTACCAAGTCCCAGGCACGGCGGCATGCGGGATAAGACGCATATCCTGGCAGCCATGTGCCCAGTGTCGAGAACCAAAAGGCGAGGCTCCGTTGGTGCCGGCTCGGTATGAAGAGAGGGGGATGAAAGCATCAAAGCCATGGAGTGCTCTTAGAGGCAACAACACTTGCTATACTCGAACTCATTCTTTGCGACGGACTGCCTTAGCGGCGAGCTGTTGGATCGAGGTGAGTCCAGCCTGGTGCCTGTAATTTGCTCTCCCAGCAGTGCTGGACAGTGGAAGCCGCAGAACTACTAAACAATAGACGAGTTGAGGCCCCAAAAAAGAAACAGTGGGGATTGGGGGGCGTGTGCGGTTGGTTGAAGATTGCAGCCGTTGGCCTGTGCGTGTCTCTGCTTTAGCGAGGCTAAAATTAAGTTGCAAGCGCGCAGCGGACAAGGGAGGCGCCGGGCCGGAAAATCGTTTCTTCACACGCAAGACAAGATGAAGACAAAGAAAATGCGATTCCCTATACTTTTACGGTTGTGCGCCGACATCAACACCGATGCTCTCCCCACAGCGTCTGATTCGTATGTGCGAGTACTCTGCAAGCTGCTGGACCCGGACCCGGAACTGGACATGGACCCTTGCTTCAATCAGGAAACCACTGCCGAAAGCGTGTACTGGTAGCGCCGCCCCAGGGCCATCGGACGAGCCAGGGACGGAGCACCGGGACCAGAATTTAGCATCTTACTTGGGTGACGCTGACTCAGGTATTAGTCCGGGTAACTGGTATCCAGGAAATCACGTCAAGCTCATCAGATGAGGAGATTCAAACGGAACAGGCTCTACCTATTACGTACCTTACCTACAACGAACCATTGAAGTCTTTTTCGATGACGAACCACCCACCTGCAGCAATAAGCACATATTCAAGATGCCCCGTGCACAAACATCATAGTCAGCCAAGCCAAATCCACCGCCAATCACAGCACGTCATCTTACCGCTTCTCATCCTCTCTCCAACATACGCAGCAACAAACATCCAGACATTCAAGGCCCAAAAATAGCACCAGTCGACAAGGTTCATCGGATCAAACATCACTTCCAATCCCATTGGCATGGCAACTACAGTACATCAAAAATCAACTAATCTTCAACTTAAGCTTCAAAAATCTATCTATGTATATTTTCCTCCTCTCCTCTCTCCTCTCTCCACCCCCACACACGTCCGGCCAATGGTTTCCCTCGAAATAGCCGCTCAGCTAATCGTAAGCGCTCGCGAATAGGACCGGCAGCTTCTTCTAGAACGATTCTTTTTTTCTCTTTCAGCGCTTCCAATCTTCGGGAGCCTTTCAACAATATTTTTTTTCATCCCCCCCCAGTCGTTTTCAAATTGCACAAGGTAACACTCTCTTTTTGCTATTTTTATCGCTCATGCTCATGCAAGGCATCGTTCTTGGGACCTTGCATGTTGCCGCCCCTCCCAAATCACCCCCATCACTCCCCCTTCCCGCCAACAACAACAACAACAACCATCGAGGTTTGCTCCTTACCCGCCCATCCCATGAACCATTTGTCGTGATGGAGACGCCGGGCATGTCTTCCTTTCTCCACCTCTCCCATGTTGAGGAGAAACCACTCGGCATATGCCAGTAGCGGCTCTTTCATCCGCTTCTATTTCTGTCTTTTGCCGCCAAACAAAGTCCCACCTTGCTTCATGCATCGCGAGAATCCCCCCTGACTGGATGGACTGGTGGTTCCTGATTCCCCCATTCCGTGCTCGCGGTACCGCCGTGATTCTTGATGCATCGTACAGTACACGCCCCCCTCCATCTCTTCTTGTTTCCCCCTCCCCCCCAGAACCCCCCTCCAGATGCTAGTTCGTGAAAAGCCCAGATATAGCCATCTCGATCTTTTATTCCACGCGAGATCAGAGGGATGTGTTATTTTTAGACATGTTGTTGCTATATTAAGCTGTAGCCTCAATGCAGGTGTCTAAAAGTAGCATGAGCTTTAATGAGACATCATGCATGAACCCGTCAACGACAGCTCTCGTCTCCTCCTCTGGCTCTTTTCTAAGCCACTCGCTCCCCTCCGCTCCAATCAATCCCCCGTATCCTACCTACATGTGCTCTGGAGAATAAAGCTGTTTCATGCGGAACCCCCCCTCCCTTGTTCATCCCGTTTCTTGCTTATACGCCAGTAGATACCGCTGTTTGCGAATAGCTTCCCCTGATGAGCACGCGCCCGCGAATACGTCACCATACGTTGAGAAACCTGCATGCTCCTCCCGCATCTCACGACCGGCTCTGCGACCATGGCGCTTCTTTAGTACGTCGAAAGGGGGGCAAACACCAACACCCCATCAGAATCTGTTTCCAGAGCAGAAGCGCTTTAACACAGTAGTCGTTTGTTTCACGGATTCATCTTTCATCTTGCACAAGCGCTGTGAACAACCATGCCATCACATCGGCAGCAGCTAAAATCTTGCAGATAACGATTCTCCTGCCGCGCTACGTAGAGCGTTTGTCCGGAGTTGGTGGCACGCCACAATCTA